GGTGCTGTATGCATGGGACAGTCTGCTTTTCTCAGGAGGGTAGAGACCCAAGCTTCAAGACCCCGGACACACCTGTGCTGTATGCATGGGACAGTCTGCTTTTCTTTTGAAAAATAAAACCCCAAGGTGGGTTTTTTTTTTATTCTGACACTCCCACTTTCCTGTGTGAATCATTAATTCAGTCGGGAAGTGAACACACACTTGCTTCAGAGAACTCAACGTACCACCCCGACAAAGGTGTCTTGTACACGGCTGCTAACATCTGTAGTCCGCAGACAGATCCCATCCCAGACCCCAATCTATCATAACAAGTATGCCAAGACTCCAGAGTCTGTCTGTGTACAAGGATTTTGAATTTGCCCGTCTAGCTCAGAATAGAAAAGACCCGGGCCACCCGCTCTCCTTCCTGCTCCTTTTTTTCCCCACAGGCACTGACGGAAACAAGGCGAAGAAGAAAAGAGCCTCTATTTCTGGTACGTGAATTTAGTTCTCAGGGCGGAAGCCCAGAATGTTACATAAGGCCGACGTGATCCTGCCTCCCCCCGTAAGTTCTCTCTCTTCAAGTGAACGGCCAGTAGGACACTGGCGTTAAATTCTGCCCTTCGCTTCCTTCCTTATGAAACCACCATGCAGGCATTCAAATACTATTTCATAAGGACGGGAGTGGAGGGCACAATTCAACACCATTGCCTTGGAATGGGCTGCGGGCATCTTCACAACCGTGGGCATGTCCTGGGACCAAACGAGACACGGTGGGAGGTCCCTCGGGTGGTGTCTGTTCAGGCTGCCGCTGTCGGGCTTGGCACGTCCTCTCTCAGCCTCTGTGGTTCAGGAAGCAGGCCAGCCTCCTTTCTCTACACACGCATCCTAATGCCACGCCATTTTGTTAATCAGACAATCCAGCCTGAGGGAAGGAGCCTCAGCCAAAGCAAATGTGCCTTCAGGACATTTGACAACATCCGAGGACAGTTTGGTTTGTTGTGGTTCACGGTTCGGGGAGAAGACTGACTTCCTATGGGTCATGGCCTGGGATGAACTAAAACTTGTAACACACACACAAGGCATCGTCCAGCCAAAGATGTCCACAGGGCCAAGGCTGATAAACTTGGTTTAGAGCAGTGGTTCTCAGCCTTCCTAATGCTGTGACCCTTTAATACAGTTCCTCATGTTGTGGTGACCCTCCCAACCATAAAATTATTTTCTTTGTTACTTCATAACTGTAATTTTGCTATTGTTATGAATTGTAATGCAAATATCTGTGTTTGCCGATGGTCTTAGGTGACCCCTGAGAAAGGGTCTTTCAACCCTCAAAAGGGGTCATGATCCATAGGTTGAGAACCACTAGATTAGAGGACTGCTGATAAATACTCCTTCTCATAGGAAGTTTACGGTGGAGTTTCATCATCAATTATCCTGTTGATACTTACTGAGCTGCCCCACAGCACTGGAGAGAAGGGAAACATGCCGCTGACCTCCTGAGTCAGATCATCGGAGAGAAGTAAAGCATGCGTGCCCATGCACATACCCCAGGATGACTGCAGACTGTGGCACATATGTGCAGGGCAAGTAACACAGACTGTAACCAGGAAGTGCTGTGGATAAGACGTTCAAGGAAGGCTTTCCCAAGGAAACTTCCATTCAAGGCGGCTTGCAACTGACTTAAGCTCCTGGAACCAGCTCTGATTCCTTAGAGGGCAACTGTCGTTTTCCTTTCCAAAATGACAGTAAGGTCAAAGTAACGGTTGTCTATCACAAAACTTCCTAAACAGAAGGAGAGGGACTCAAAACTTCCTAAACAGAGACCAAGGGGGAGGGGGGGCACAAAGGAAAGGGAGAGGGAAGAGATAACTCAAATCCTAGCATGCTACAGCCACTCTGATTGGGCTGCCTGGATCACATGCCATCCATGAACCAATGGCCATGGCCAAGGAGGACGGGCTGGGTTGGTTGGCTCAGGCCAAAGTGACCACCCTTGGCACTGGGGCTGGCACCAGTCTCTCTCAAAGAGAAACAACAAAAGCTGAGGCACTCTGGGAAGTGTGATATACTTCCTGGGTGGGGCACAGGGGCCTCCTCCAAGGGAGATGAGATTCAAACCCAGTCTTGAAGGATGTGAGGGAGCAGGCCTACCCAAGAGACTAAGGAACAAAGCTTTCCACACAGGGAAAAGCACATGAATACAAGCAGCTTGATGCAGGAAGAAGCCAATGCACAGTGACACCATGTGCCGGTGTCAAAGTGGTAAAGAGAGACTGTAGGGCCAGGCGTGAGCAGTTGCCATATGACGAATTTTCTTTAGACATATTTGTTAAGAAAGATAGCAATCCTTTCATAAATTAGAAGGAAAAAAAAACACCTCTAAAAAACTTTTCCTATGTCCTCATTGCTAGAGTATGAGATAACATGTCTTAATTAAAAAAAAATTATAAGATTTTATGTATTTTTATGTGTTGAGTGTTTGCCTGCATGATTTATGTGCACCATATGTGTGCAGTACCTGTGGAGGCCAGAAGAGGGCATCAGATCCCCTGGAACTGCAGCTACAAATGGTTGTGGGCTGCCATGTGGGTGCTGGGAACTGAAACCAGAGTCCTCTATGAGAGTAACAAGTGCTCTTAACCACTGAAGCATCTCTCCAGCAGGGTTTGTCTTTATCTGATTTAAGTTTCAACCTAAAATTTCTAATGCCATGACAAGAATAGCACAGGAAATTACATAATAAAAATGAATGAACACTTAAGTAAAACAGAACAAGGCTAAGAGAAAGTGACAAGTGTTTAAATAAGAGGATTTCTGATGGCCTCTTGTGACTTGATCGTTCTGTACACACGCAGATAAGGGAGAGGACTAAACAAAGGGAAGACAGGATGATAGCACATCTCGGCCTCCACAAGCAATAGGAGTTGAGACTTCAGTTCTGGCATTGAAACTTGCTTGAACAATTTTTCTTACAATAACCTACTGAATGCTCATTAGCACACTAGATGTTTTATTTACATCCAATCCTTCCAAAATCCCAGCAAGAATGGGTGGTATTGGCATTTTACGGGTTTGCCAAGGATTACAGACATTAAGCACGATTACATGATAATTATATGGTTAGTGCTTTGTGTAAGTTTTGATCATGACAAAATCCTGCGAGAGAGTACACAGAAGGGCTGGTAATTACAAGTTCACACAGCTCACAAATTAATAAGGACAGCCAGAACACAAGCCCATGAAGTCCAAATCTGGGTGCTGTATTTTACATAATATGTATCAGCAGTGAGTGCTAAAAGTTGAACATGACCCGAATCTGTCCAGGCCCACATCTCTCTGCAGTTCCTCATATAAATTGTGGGAGGTAGATCAAATCATTTATAGGTCCTCTTTGTTAAAAATAGCTAAGATTCTATTGATTTTAATAAAAGTTTTCCTATTCTAAAAAAAAAAAATGTTGAGGTCGTGGAAGTTTCGGACACAGATGCATAACAAAAATAAATACATTAAACAGACTTCAAATTTAAAAATGCAGCCTCCCTGAGATAACTACTACTCTTTTCCCATTTTAAATACGATAGTTAAGCGGCAAGCTAACCAACCACCACGACCACATACAACTTACTCTGTAATGTGTACATAAGCCTCTGATTTAACCAACCGCACTTGTCTTGCTGGAGGAAGTTTTTTAACCTTGGGTCCCAACTCTGTTCAATTTCACACTTACTTAGCAGCACGCGTTTGTATTGTGCTTATTTCCATATCTTGGAGGTTCAAGTACACTTGGGGTTCTCAGCCAAACTTTTAAGTGTTTGAGTAAACGATACATAAGAATTGAAGGCCAGAGCAAGCAGCGCCTGCCTGGCCCTCCTCTGTCTCTGTATGGAACCAAAGTTCACTTTCCAAGGAAAGAAAACGAAAGCTTAGATTACACAAGTAATAAACCACACTGATTTAATGTATTAGTATATATATGATATATCATATATATTATATATGATATATGATATATAATGATATAATGGTTAGGAGTGGCAGGGTTAAACAAAGTCGGCGTAAACTAGTACCCCAAATAAGCTAAAAGCGACACCACCAGCAGCCTCCCAAACTGCAGAGCAACCAAAAGCTGCTTTCATTAAAAAAAAAAAAAAAAAAGAAGAAACCTCTGGTGTTTCATTCTGCAAGAATCTTGCCAGCAGATGAATGTCTGCAAATTACAAACCGTGCTGCTTATACGCGGCATAAAACTGACGTTCCTAAATCAGAATTCATCAGTTGTCGAAAGAACAGACAAGAACAGAACAGAGCACAAAGCCAACGCCAGAGAGAGCGCGCAAAGAGGAAGCAACCAGCTGGGCCTTCTTCTGAGCCCTCAAGACAAAGCCGGGTCCCAGCACGCACCGCGGCCCAGACTACATATCCCAGCGTGCAAAGCGCCCAGGCCTCCCCACTGGACTTCACTCCCCGGCATGCAAGGCGCTCCTGTCTCCCGGCCAAACTACGCTTCCCGGCATGCTCTCTTCCGACCGCAAGTCGGCGACCCGGAGAGGCCTGGGGTCTCGGAGCAGTGGCTTCTGTCTCCACCCGTTCAGTAGTCCTTCGGCGTCTGGGAGCCGGACACTGCCGCCCGGTGTCATTTCATGAGCGACAGGAGTTTCCGGCTCGCTATTCCTCGCGGGGTCAACTGGAGCACAAACTGCCCGGGGTGGGGAGGGCGGGATGGAGGCTGGGCAGGCTCGGTCGGCTCTAGCCAATGGCACCCGAGCGGCTGCCCCGTCACCATGGCAACGCAGGCCGCCGGCCGGGCGGCCAGCCGCCCATTGGGTAGAACCTTTCTCGAAGGCTCGAGAAGGAGGAAGCGGAAGTGGCACGTGGAGGGGCCGGTGGAGGCGCCGGTGAGTAAATGCCGCAGATTCTGGAAAGTTCTCCTCAGTAGGCTACATAAGGCTGAGCGATTGGGACCTCCCCTTTTGGATTGGTAGCTGAGCGGCGGCGGCGGCAGCAGCGGCGGCGGCGGCAGCTGCGTGCGAGCGGGCGGGCGGGCGAGCGAGCGGCGAGCAGCGAGCGGGGACCGAGCGCCGACTCGCGGGGGCGAGCCCGAGGCACCTTCCCGGACGGTCGGGAGCAGGAGGCGCACGCCGCGGACCCGAGGCGGAGGCTGACCGGGCCGGCCATGTCGGTGGTGGGACTGGACGTGGGCTCGCAGAGCTGCTACATCGCGGTGGCGCGGGCCGGGGGCATCGAGACCATCGCCAACGAGTTCAGCGACCGCTGCACCCCGTAAGTGGGGGTCGGGGGGGGCGGCCGGCCGCGGGGGTCGGGGCGGGGGGTGGGGGGCTCGAGCTCGCCGCCCCCCCCGGGGGAGGAGCGTCAGTGACGCCCGGCGGCTGCAGGCTGGCACCGGTGCCCGCCCCGGCGGAGCCCGGGCGGCGGAGCCCGTTCCTCCGCATGGTGAATCTCCCGGCGACCTGGAAGGTTCCAGAGCCCGTGCGCGGCCGCTCGCCCGGGCGGCGGGCGGACTGTTGTTGGCGACCGCAGACACACACACGCTCGGTGGTGGCGAGTCCACCGCCCCCGCCTCCCCCCCCTCTCCCTCTCGGTGTGCTAAGGTGGCCCCGGTGCCCCGCATCGCTTTTTTGGAAGAGTTCCCCCCCCCCTTTTTTTTTTTTTTTTTTTTTTTAAAGCTTACCGTGAAAGCCGTTCGTGAGAGACCGAGTGTTTGTTTGTTTTGGCACGGTTTTGGAATAAGCAGTACAAACGTTCCTAACACGTTGCTGTGCAAAAAAAAAAAACCTCGGTGGGAAAGATTTTTTTTTTTTTTTCTTTTCGGTCTCTGAATTAAATATTCTGCAGCACCGTGGGTGGGCAAACGGAAGCACGGTAAAAAGCAACTTTTTGAGGGGGTTAGTTTCCGAAGGTAACATAGGCGAGTAGACCTGCATGTGCAGTCCATGACAACGGCTGCTTGCTTTTATAGGCAATCGCTGTAGGCCTTTTTTTTTTTCCGTCATGTACAGAGTCCAAGATTGTTAACCGTCGAAACTGAAGGTAAAATCATTCCGACCTTGGGTTATTTGTGTGCAGAGGAACATTTATGTGTGTGAATAGGAAATGAGCCTTGCTGGTAACTTAGCTCTCTGAGCAACACAGTGGTGCTCAATCTACCTCTTTACACAGCCATGGTGGTTGGTTCTTTGGCGATTAGGAGGAAAGATGCCAGTCTTTCGTGCCTCTCCCCTATGGGCCGAGTGCGTCTGTGCTTCTTTATTCTCTGGTTTAAAAAGAAGGCGGCTCAGAGAAGCAGGGGAGATGCTTGACCAGTGTGTTGACCAGAATTTTCAACTGATGTATTATGTTACTATTAAACTACAGGGCTAACAATGGAATTGGCTACTGATCCCTATTACAGTTGGTTAATTGACTTGGAAAATGAGAAGATCAAGTCTCTAGTCTCTCAGAGCTCAGAATCACAGGATTTGTAGACTGCACCTTAAAAGATCCAGCCATTGCTTGCTTGAGAATCCCTGGCTTTCAGGGTGACATTTAGTACCTGCTTAGGCTGCTGGGTCCAAGATGTCTCTGTTACAGCAAACTTAAATGTTCTCAGGATAGTCCCATTTTACTCATTTTCCCACGTAGGAGTAGCTGAACCAAAATTAGATTAGGCTTGGATTAGTAATGCACAGTGGATTACTTGGCTAATCCAAAACCTTAATCACTCACTGCCTCCTCCACACAAGACCTCTCCATCTTGTCTCTGTTCTGTTACTACATTCCCTTCTGTTGCTGAGGAAGCTGTCCCAGTTACAGGTCACTCTTCATCTGGTCAGAGCAGACTTACCATGACTGATGGCCACTCCATCCCCTCAGCATTTATACTTCAGGCTGTAGGAACTTTGGTTCTTTTTCTTACTTGACTTTCTTAGGTAGAATCTTCCAGATGGGAGTCTCATCTGTATGCTTTAAACTCTACAGGCAATACCATAGACTTCTTAAAGTTACATAAACCCTTTTCAGTTCTAAAGCAGGTGGTAGATGGGGACAGAAATAAGTGACAGTGACATTTAGGATTGTATGAAGCTGGCGACAGAGGTAGTTACACTGTACTTCCTGTCGGTTGTGCATAATGCCAGGTTTAGTAATACCCTAAATTGAGAGCTTTCAGAATTAGTGTTCAGTTCCCTGTCCTTGTGACCTGGTGACACTGTAGTAGCACTCTCAAGGTATTGAGCTTCTAGAAGGCCCAAGCTGCAGGTAGACCAGCAGGCTTCTTTCTGGGGTGCGCAGGGCTAACCCTTGGGCTGCATTGTCAGAGCTGTGGTTTGCAGTTCTTCCTATCCCCAGACAGTCTGGAGGACCTGGTGAAAGTTGTGAGCTGCAGAATTGTGCTTTGTGTTGGAATCCCCTCGTGGTAGTTTAGAAATGGCCACGTGTGCTTTTCGACAAATGGGAAACATTTACTTTCTGTTCTAGGTCAGTCATATCGTTTGGACCAAAAAACAGAACAATCGGAGTTGCAGCCAAAAATCAGGTATGTTCTGGAAGAGAATGCCCATCTGGTTAAGGAAAATCCCGGCAGCACCCCAGAATGGTGTGCTGAAGTTTCAGAGTTTAGGTTTGGAGACTAAAACGCAGGGCTGGGGAGATGGCTCTGCCGTTAAGAAGAGCACTTGTTGCTCTTACAGGTTTGGTTCCCTGCGCCCACTTGGTGGCTCCTAACTGCCTGTAACTCTACTTTCTGCACTCTCTCTGGCCACCATGGGAACCAGGCACATGCTGCACACGTGTGCAGACACTCACACGTGCATGTTAACGATGAAAATGGTAACGCTAAGATGGGTGTCAGGTGTTCTTTTTGAGCCTTGGTGATTGCCTCGTCATCCCCACCCTTGCTCCTTCTCCCTTGTTCCCGTCCTTCATTGGGGAACTTCAGTGCTCACACACACACATACATACACACATATGGTGTCACTGTGTCACTCTGGCTGGCCTCTTAACTCACAGAGCTCTGCCACCTAAGTACTGGGGTTAAAGGGGCGTGGGCATGACAGCATGCTTGACTTTACAATTTTTTAAATTACAAACACTTGACTGTGTGTGTGTGTGTGTGTGTAGTTTCTCAAAGGCTAGTGAGGTTCCTCAGTGGGTGGAGCGCCTGCTGCCAAGCCTGACAACACGAGTTCTATCCCTGGGACCAACTCCTGCAGAGTATCTTCACAGTGGGGTCTGTGTGTGTGTGTCTGTGTGTCTGGTTTATGTCAGATTGACAAACTCAGTGTGTGAGCATACCTGGTGTGAGCCTCGGTGCTGCCCAGCTGTACGGGATGAAAGAAATAGTAGTCCCTTGGTACTGCCAAGGCTACACGACTTCAGAAGTTTAATGTGTTCATCTTCATTTTTAGTAGGAGCCTACCTTTGAATGAAGTGTCCTGAAGTGGGTTGACCCAAACACTAGATTACGAAAACACCGTCTCAGATCAAGTGGGCATATGTCTGTCCATCCAGTTTTTCTGAATTTCATGCCCCTTATTCCCATGTGTACCTAAGAACAAGACCACGTTCCAGGGTGGGAACAGGTTGCTGAAGTACACCCTTTTTTAACACGCACATCCAGCAGTGTGAGATGGGTGTAAGTTTGGCAATAAGATCTGTGCCACCCCCACCACTCCCCCTACCAAATAGTCATTTAGAAACTTGAAGTTACCCTCACCTCCTCTGCCTCTGGCATAGGCCAGTTTCTAGACAGAAATGCATAAGGCCCTTCCCCTGAGAGTGCTCCAAGTCCAACTGTCGTGGGACAGTGAGCGCGGGTTACTGGGGGAGAAGATGGGGTACAGCAATACAGTTGCCGAGGAGTTCTAGAGCCTTGGAGACAGTTGCGCCGTCTTTTCCTTTATCTTGCAGATTTTGAGATCTGCCCCAAAGTCTGATGACACCATTGCCTTTCCTTCTGGCATTTTCCATAGAAGAAAGTACAGTAGGAGCTATCCATTCATGGAAAATCGAGGACTCTGAGGGAAAGTTAGGTATACTCCCCCAGAGTTGGTCTGAGTTGCACAAATGACTGTCTGAAATTGCTGCAGGTTCTGCAGGTGATGAAATTAGAAAAAAGTTGAAATCTTCAATTTCTTTTGCAGCAAATCACTCATGCAAACAATACAGTGTCTAGCTTTAAGAGATTCCATGGCAGAGCATTCAGTGACCCCTTCATTCAGAAGGAGAAGGCCAGCCTGAGCTATGATTTGGTCCCGATGAAGAACGGTGGCGTTGGGATAAAGGTAATACAGCTGGTCCACCAGGCTCTAATCTGAGCATCTCTGGAGGGGGTGCTTGGCTTAATCCTTTAACCCAAGGTGACTGTACGCAGTGGGTCTTTCCCTCCTGTCTGGCTCCTTTGAAAGTGTAGGTAATAGAAACTGTCCCAAGAATTCCTTAACTGATGATGCATACCTACATAGATTATTTGCTGTTTCTTCTAACTTTCTAGTGATTTTTTTGATTGCTTTGGTATTTGAAAAAAAATCTCAAGTGACGATGGCTCAGATGTGGTGCGAGAGCCCTTTGGAGCACGTGGAGAGCGGGAGAGCGACCAGAAGTGCTGTCTGGGGTCAGCCCAGCCTTGCCCTCCTCCTCTCTAGGGAAGAGTTCTTCCTTCTTTTCCTCCCTTTGTTTTTTTGGTTCCTTTTTTTCTTCCCAAACCAATAAACTCTAATTTTGTAGAGCAGGACATGTGCTAACAGCTGGAAGTTCATGTTAGCATTTAGCCGAAGTGTTAGGGTATTTAAGCATTTCCCCCTGTATTGTAGGTCATGTACATGGATGAAGAGCATCTCTTTAGCGTGGAGCAGATAACAGCCATGCTGCTGACTAAGTTAAAGGAGACTGCAGAAAACAACCTCAAGAAGCCAGTAACAGATTGTGTCATCTCAGTAAGTAGACCCAGCCAGGCACCGTGTTTGCCTTCAGCTGCCGTTCTTTGGCTCCAGTATCTCATTCATATACATACATACATACATACATACACATATATGTATATGAATGAATGCTCTTTCTTACCAAGGTGTTTTTTTTTTTTTTCCCCCGGAGCTGAGGACCGAACCCAGGGCCTTGCACTTGCTAGGCAAGCACTCTGCCACTGAGCTAAATCTTCAACCCCCCAAAGTGTTCTTAATGGAATGAGTTGGAGCATTTCAAAGTTAACGTTAGCTAGCCGGACGCTGCAGGGTTCTTGACTACAGAGGCTCGCAGTGCAGTAGGGTCCCCCGTGGAGCTTTCTAAAAATACAGGTGGACCAGCTACGTCTGCACCTGGTTCTCTCCGGGGCATTTGGCTGCTGTAATACAGGGGTTGGGATTCTGAAGAGTTTTTCACAGAAAGAGTCTTCCCTTGGCTGAAAACCAGTGCTTTGGGAATTATTGTTATTATTATTTTTCTCTTTTTAAGGCAACTCTGAAAGTGAAGGAAATCACTAGAAATGAAGTTTAAATTTATGCTTGTGTTTTGGGGACTGGCCAGGCACTCCCTGTGACTATTGGGATGGCTTGTGGGGCAGTTAGAGTGCTGTGTCTGGAGCTACAGTTCTTCTTTGCAGGTCCCCTCCTTCTTCACAGACGCTGAGAGGAGGTCTGTCCTGGATGCTGCACAGATCGTGGGCTTGAACTGCTTACGACTCATGAATGATATGACAGCTGGTAAGAGAAGCACCTACTGGTGTCCCTAGAAATGCCTTTCTAAAGAGGGTTAGGATTCAGATCCGAATTTGTTGACTCCGAGTGCTTTTACCGGTAAAGAGAACCAAGTTTGTGGATGAGCCGTCTCCTGGCAAGTGTGGTGGTGGTGTATGGAGTCTGGCACTGTGACTTGGGGTGAAGAGCGATGGGCATTATCTAACAGTCCCAGTGACTGATCCCTTATAAGATGTGAAGGGTTTCCTGTGACAACAGATCCCTAAGAAAAGGGACTGGACGACTGGTGATCTGGCTTTTGTTTTCCTTGTAGTGGCTTTGAATTACGGAATTTATAAGCAGGACCTCCCAAACGCAGATGAGAAGCCTCGGGTAGTGGTGTTTGTGGACATGGGGCACTCCTCTTTCCAAGTGTCTGCCTGTGCTTTTAACAAAGGGAAACTCAAGGTAAAGTTGGAACTGCCATTCTGGGGAAGAGTTTTGTGAACCGTGAAGCTGGGAGCTTTAGACGGTTGGTGAAGATTGAGCTAGAAAAAATGGTGCATGAAGACTCTGGAGGGGTTGGGGGCCTTTATGTTGAAGTAAAAGAATGTTAAGGTTCTCTTCGGCATGGATAGTAAACATAGGAAATACCATAGGAGATTGAAAGAGATTGGCATTCACTGAGTTACATCCCTCCTGACTTGGGCTTAGTAGAGGTTGTGAGCCTGTCAGCCTGCTGTTGGAATGGGAATTTCGAAGATTCTAAGTAAAGTGAGATGGAAAGTAACCTGTTTGTCTCTCTCGTTTTTTAACCAACCTTAGGTTCTAGGCACAGCCTTTGACCCCTTCCTAGGAGGAAAGAACTTTGATGAGAAGCTGGTGGAGCATTTTTGTGCTGAGTTTAAAACCAAGTACAAGTTAGATGCAAAATCCAAAATCCGAGCACTCCTTCGTCTCCATCAGGAGTGTGAAAAGTTGAAAAAGCTCATGAGCTCCAACAGCACAGACCTGCCACTGAACATCGAGTGCTTCATGAACGACAAAGATGTCTCGGGAAAGATGAACAGGTGTGTGTACTGAGTTGGACGCGTGAAGTGGATCTTCTTTGTTACCCTTCCTGACTTAGGTTTCGGAGTGATGGCTGTTGGCTGCAGACACCATCTTTATCACTCAGAACCTAGGGACACGTCTGTGAAGAATGCTTTTTTTTTTAAGTATGTGTGTGTGTGTGTCCGTCCGTCTGTCCGTCCGTCCGTCCGTCCGTGACCCTGCCATGGTGCACATGTTGAACTCAGGACAACTCCGGACTCGGTTTTCTCCACCCAGGCTGTCGGGCTTGGCAGCCAGTGCTTTGCCTGCTGAGTCATCTCCCCAGCCTGCGAGGGTTTTTAGAAGGACCTTTCCTAAATGTGATTGGTTTCTTCCCTCGATTAGCCACAGAATTTTCTCCCCGTGCTCTTTATGCTGTGATGTGTATGTATATACACAGAATGTATGCGTTTTATATCAAGTTAATAACTTGACCCGTGTGGGATTTGGGGTACTGAGAGGGAAAGGCAAAGTGACCTGGGTTGGTAAGAACTCAATAATGGTTGACAGTGTGCTCCTTTCATTTACTAAGGTCACAGTTTGAAGAACTGTGTGCTGAACTCCTGCAAAAAATAGAAGGGCCCCTTCATTCCTTGATGGAGCAGACTCACCTCAAGGCCGAGGATGTGAGTGCCATTGAGATAGTTGGAGGGGCCACAAGAATCCCAGCTGTGAAGGAAAGAATTGCCAGATTCTTTGGAAAAGACGTCAGCACCACACTCAATGCCGACGAAGCGGTGGCCAGAGGCTGTGCCCTGCAGGTATGTGAGTCCCCAGTGCCCCTCAGCTGGTGCCCGGGCACGTGGAGCCTGGCCTGCTTCCATTCCCAAGGAGAGACTGTCTGGCTGCTGTTCCAAGAGGGGACTAGAGACGGGCCTGGTTCTGAGAGGACAGGAAACGGCTGTAGGGCGCTGGTGAGCTGTGTGGTGGCTTGACAACTGTTTCCCAGCACAGGAGGCATTAGAGCATTAGCCAATTGTAGTAAAGAATTCACTTGAGGAACATGTGTAGGGTTAGGAGTATTAGTTACCAAATGCTTCTAGAAAGTAGATTCTTTTCCCACTTGCAAATGGAGCTGAATCGTTACGTTAGATTGGAGAGGCAGATGCACCCAATCCAGATGTTGGGAGTGAACAGAAGATGCTTGAGTTATTTACGAGTAGATGAGATTCTGTGAACCAGGTCTTCCGAGAGCTTGCCTTGGGTGTGACAGCAGAAGAGTAGGGGCAGTCCTGCCATTGTCTTGTCACAGCCTAGCCCGGCTTCGGGGTGTTCTAATGTTTGTTGATTGTACAAAACAGCGTGTCTATAGGTACACTGAAAGTGTTTAAACTAACACCTCCCATGGTGGAGTGGGTGTCTGTTGGAAATTCCTAGTTTCTGAAAAGTGGAGCTAAGTTTTGGCCTCTGCTTTGAAGGATACCACTGATGAGATGAATTCTCCTTCATGGGTCTGGGTACTTTCTTCGTGTTTAGCTAGTTCTGTGTGTCCTGTGTAGACAGGAGCTTGTCTGTCCTGTCCCAATTTTGAATTTGCCACTGGTTTTCATTTACAAAGTTGACTGAAAATGTGAGCATTTGGAGTTCCATCCTTTTGGTTTCTTGGACATGTGAAAGCAGTAAGGCAGAGCTTCTCGTGGGAGTACATACACTTGAGAGAGTCAGCTTGTAATTGAAAATGCCACCAGCAAGGCGTTTCCGGGAAAACCTGTCTTTTCAGTCTGTGAAACTTGAAAGTAAGAATTGCTGGCCCAACCTGGGCGGTGGTGGCGCACACCTTTCATCCCAGCACTCGGGAGGCAGAGGCAGGTTGATCTCTATGAGTTCGAGGCCAGCCTGGTCTACAAAGCGAGATCCAGGACAGGCACCAAAACTACACAGAGAAACTCTGTCTCAAAAACACCAAAAACAAAAAAATTGCTGGCCCAAGATTGATGATTTATCTTGGTGGCCTAATGGTCAGCATAATGTTAAGATGGTACATGATGCGCTGCTATTCTAACGTTAAATCGTTTGTCTTTTCAGTGTGCCATTCTCTCTCCGGCATTTAAAGTCAGAGAGTTCTCTGTCACAGACGCCGTTCCTTTTCCCATTTCTCTGGTCTGGAACCACGACTCGGAAGAAACTGAAGGGTATGTAGCCGCAGACAGATAGCTCTCCTAGTTGAAGGACTAGGGGCCCAGACCTGTTCCCCTTCACGTGGTGGTCGGGAGTGACGGGCAGAATTGGGAAGGTTGGAGAGCAGCTCTGTCTGTCTTTCTGAGCCGTTGGTGTCTTTGCTTCCTCCTAGTGTTCACGAGGTGTTCAGTCGGAACCATGCTGCTCCTTTCTCCAAAGTTCTCACCTTCTTGAGAAGGGGGCCTTTTGAGCTGGAAGCATTCTATTCGGACCCTCAAGGAGTTCCATATCCAGAAGCAAAAATAGGTAAGTCAGCCAGTCATGGTGTGCACCTGCCCTTTGGTTGGAGGTGCAGCTCTTCATTGAGTGCAGAAACTTAGTTGTGAGGAGGATGCGCTGACCTGGAGGCTTGCTGGCCTGGCTGCTCACACTGACCTCCCTCCAAGATGGAGTGTTGTTGGCAGGGTGTTAACTTCAGATTGGAAGCTTGGCTCCCACAGCAGGGAGCCAAGGTCTGCGTGTGTACTCCACTCTCTGAAGGGGCGTCTCTTCAGATGCCCTTTTCACCGGGAGGGAGACTTGCCGATGTCCCTCTGCTTTTCGCTTTCGGAACTTCCTATTTTATATAGGAAAACCTGCTGATACTGCCAGGCCTCTCCGTTGCCCTCACCTCACTTACAGAGAAGGCATTTGAAGGACTCGAGTCTGGCCCATCACACACTGCTTTGAAAACATGGTTCACAGTGTCGCGGGAGGACAGCTGGACAAATCTTTGCTGGGGAGCTGAGGGTTTCTGGGTTGGGTGCTGCATTATCAACTACTGCACAGAGACGAGCTGTTGCCTAAGTGCTAGTGTTTCGCTCACTGGAGCTGTCCGTCATGAGCTGTCCATCCTGAGCAGTTTCACATTCCGTACTCATGAGTGTTGTACCCAGAAGTGTGTCTGTAAAGGACCATTGGCAGTTAGCTTGAGTTAGTGGTCTGTGCCAGCCAGCATCCTTGACTGGCCCAGTAATGAAATCTAGCTGCGTGCTGTGCAGACAGTACCTTAGTTAAACGGCTGTTCCGTTCCTTGGAACTCTTGACTATAACTGGTTCAGACACTTATTTTAGAGACCAGATCTGTCTATGCAGTCCTGGCTGTTCTCAAGCTTGCTGTGTATTCCTGCGTGCTGGTATTAAAGGCATGTGCCATCATGCCCGGAAAATGGGTATTTTTAGATTATTATTTGTGTGTGAGTGCACGTATGGAGGTCAGGAATTTAGGGGGTTGGCTCTCTTGTGCTGTGGGTTCTGGGTTTGAACTTGGGTCACCACACTTGCCCAGCAGGCACTTCCTCTGCTGTGCCACTTGAGCAGCCTTGAGGCTTGTGATTTAGTGGAGTAACTTTTGGCACTTGGTTCTATAGTAAGTGTTCATTAAAATAGTGACTCTAGAGAGGTAGTTCTCAACCTTCCTGACACTGTGACCTTTTAATACAGTTCTTCATCAAATTAGTACTTCATTTTACTATTGCTGTGAACCATAATGTAAGTGTGCGTGTTTCCCAGTAGTCTTAGGCAACCCCTGTGTGTAGTTGGAGTTTTCCTGCCTGGCCCACAGTCAGGACAAATCTCTGTCACCCGCCAGTCCCACAGCCACTCAGTCCCGACCAAGTAAACACAGAGACTTATACTGGTTACAAACTGTATGGCCGTGGCAGGCTTCTTGCTAACTGTTCTTACAGCTTAAATTAATCCATTTCCATTAATCTATACCTTGCCACATGGCTCGTGGCTTACCGGTATCTTCACATTCTGTTTCTCATCGTGGCGGCTGGCAGCGTCTCTCTGACTCAGCCTTCCACTTCCCAGCTTTATTCTCCTCCTTGTCCCGCCTACACTTCCTGCCTAGCCATTGGCCAATCAGTGTTTTATTTAATGACTAATCAGCAACACATTTGCCATACAGAACATTCCACAGCACCTGTGGAAGGGTTATTTGACCCCAGAAGTAGTTGAGCAGCCCCCAGGTTGAGAACCACCACTCTAGAAGACCAGGTCACAGCATCATTCAGACTGTGTTCTTCGTTGTTACTCTTCAGGGCTGAAGCACTACCCTAGCGATGGATGTAGGCTTTGATGGGTGGTTCAGCTCGTGTCCCCAAGATCAAACTTGACTCAAACAGTTTTGATCATTCAGTCAGAAGATTAGTATTCCCTAAAAGACTGAGAATTTAGCATGTGCTTGGTCTCCTGCCTTAGATTTGCTCGTAGATTCTCATGTCTGTGCTCATGCACGCGGAGATGAGGAGGAGCAGGAGCCCCTGCCCCTGGTGTCTGCCCAGTGGTGTTACTGCAAGAGAGTGCTTCCTTACAGAGGTTTAATGGCAGACTAGGAACAGCGGGCGGGGGGTTGTGAATGGACTCCTCAGTGCCTGCCGTGGGACTTGGAGTGGTTGGGGACAGGGAACAAACAGTTTTGGGGTGGCTGTAGTTTCTTAGCCTTGTGTTTTCTTGGCTGTCTTTATAGAATAAGTCCGTCTCTAAACTGGCAGTTCCTTTCTGCTCTAGGCCGTTTTGTTGTTCAGAATGTCTCTGCACAGAAAGATGGAGAGAAGTCTAGGGTGAAAGTCAAGGTGCGTGTGAACACACATGGCATTTTCACCATCTCCACGGCGTCCATGGTGGAGAAGGTCCCAACGGAGGAGGATGACGGGTCTTCGGTAGAGGCCGACATGGAATGTCCAAACCAGAAAGCAGCAGAAGGCTCGGATGTGGATGTAAGTGGCCGGAGTAGTTGTCACGTTGTAGAATTGACTTCTTCTAAGGTTTAGGAGGAGGGTAAAGGTTAAATATTTTTCAATTGCATAACATTGATCAGAAGTTTGTGTAATGATAATTGGTCTTGCCAATTAATGGCAGGATATGAGAATATTATGTATTGTGGCTGAGATGACTTCTTTTGAAGAAACTGGTATATGACAAGGAAAAGTTGCTTTTTCTTTTCTTGCTTTCTTAAGGGTATATATGTTAAGTCAGATGTTGACTGGTGAAAAACAACTATAAAACTGTAATGGAAAGGCAAGTTTTGTTTCATTTTCATTGTGTGGCAAAATTGGCCTTGGTATTCCAGGACTCGTTTTTATTAACCTGGCTTTCTGGGTTGAGGGAGTCAAGAAGAAAGAGCAATGTCACGATAATGGTGGCCTTGTGACTGCTTTTCTTAGCTTAGACTTGCAGTTGATTTCCAGGAGCAGTCAGAATGATTTACAAGGAGAGGCAGTCAGGCAGTGTGGCAGTGTTGGTGGAAGGCTTTGGTATCCCGTGGCCTCGAACACTGGAGGATCATCAGCATCATATGAACCTTAGCTTAGTTGTCATCTGGACACCATTCACAGAGGGAGTGGCTAGTGCTGTGTCCTCTCGGGGTCCTAGTGCCTGGCCTCAGTGCCTGCCTCAGGTTCTAGAAGCTGTGGGTGGATAACTTGGAAGACTTGAGGGGGTGGGCAGGGAATAGTTGAAGTAGTTCAGCCTTCCTTCTCTAGCAATGGCAAGAGGTCGTAATAGCACAGACTTGCCGGGCACTGGGGCTAATAAAGAGCTTTTGGGGTAATTTCTTTCCCTTTGGTCTTTAAGATCTTTTTAGCAGGGTTGTTGGCATGTCCTATTTGTTTGTTCTCGGTCCTGAGATCTTTGGAGGTAAGATAGCTCAGTCCTGAAGCTGGGGATGGTGAGCCCTGGAATAACCAATAGTTGGTCCTTTTCTGTAACTCTGGGGTGACTGAGGGCATGCTGCCACTCGAGTTTGGACACTTGGTTTTGGAAAGAGCCTGGCCTGGTAGCCCGTTTCCTGTGCTTATGAGAGCCCTAGCTGTGAAAGGTTAGGTGAAAGGCTTTGCAAAGGGAGCTCTGGATTGTCACCCAGCAGTCAGAGCCCTCCTGGATGATGTAACTGTAACACTGTCATTCATAAAATTTCTTACAGGTTTGAAATGTCTAAAGTTTCATAGACTTCCTTTGTTTGTATCTAGTGCCTTTTTGGCCCACCTACTAAGATTTCAGAAATTGAGAGTACTGTCTTTGGTGCCCTATAACTTTAAATTCATAAAGTACACCTGCTTTCTACATCCTTTGTGCCTGGGCTTTCATTTCAGAAAAATATCCAGCCAGACAACAGTGAAGCTGGAACACAGCCCCAGGTACAAACTGATGGTCAACAAACCTCACAGTCTCCCCCTTCACCTGAACTTCCCTCAGAAGAAAACAAAATCCCCGATGCTGACAAAGTGAGTGACTCTTCCAGTTCGTTCCTTAGACGATGTGGCAGCATGTGATGGTTAATGCTCTAAGCCTGTGCTTTCCAGAGGAACCCAGGTGACTGGATGGGCTGTAGGGCTTTTCTGTTCATTCTCTACATGTTACTTGGCTAAACACCAGCTAGAAGGCATACTCAGACTTAAGCAGATTGCAAACTTCTGGTAACGCCCCTTCAAGACAGCCTAAAGCAAGGTCTGCTGTTTGCTGGAGGGCAGAAGCAGAAAGATGCATTTCAGTGCTGCGAGGTCACTTCAAGAGTTGATTGATTAATTAGTTCATACATGGGTTTCAGAAAGATGCATCCCAGGGCTGCGAGGTCAGTTCAAGAGTTGATTGATTAATTAGTTCATACACCGGTTTCAGAAAGATGCATCCCAGGACTGCGAGGTCAGTTCAAGAGTTGATTGATTAATTAGTTCATACACGGGTTTCAGGAGTCTAGTTCAACTCTTCCTCCTTTCAAGTTACTGTCAATTTTGAATTAATTATGATGGTCTGGTAATAGCCGGCTATATTTCCAATTGATTACGCCTTTACCTTGTTTCCACTATTGGAAGCCAAAATAAAAAAAAAAAAAAAAACCAAAACCTATTGTGTTGTGTCCCTTGAAAAATGGCCAATTGTAACCAGATCTTTGAAACTAGCAGTCATGTTAATAGTGAGAAGCCCCCATTGTTTCAGCTCAGGCTGTACTTCTGAGTTCCCATTTCTGCAGGCTTTGTGTAAATGATGAACTGTCTGGCTTCCTAGAATTCTGGGGCTCCCTTCCCCTCACTCAGGCAAGTTACAGAAGAGGAAGGATTGGTGGAGGTCCGAATAGATTTTGTGCCAGTTTCTTATTGGCTTCTGTCCTGATTAGTCTTGGGGCCCTTAACGTGAACTCTGGATCCTGACTGATTTTGAAAGCTGTTTTTATTGTTTCCCTGTTAGAAAAGAGTTAAGGTGGTGACATTTATTTAGGAAAATGGGTCCTCACATTTCAGTATCATTCTCCCTTCCGTGATTTAGAGTTAAATTTCAGCAGACTTACTGCAGAGTCTCAGTACCTTTCTAGACAATGATATGGGCTTGGCTCTCGGCCCTTGAACACTTCTCGTGGGTTTCTCGAAGTCTGTGTCGGAGTGCCATTTTGTGGCTGTGTCAGGTGGTCAGGGGTTGATTGAAGTTTGTGCTCCTTTTGTTTCTATTAGCTGCCGTATATATGACAGTTTCATTTTGTTCCTGGAGTATCAGTTGTACTCCTGTGTCTTCCTAGCTGTAGGCAGTGGGTTTATTTTTCTCTGTTGGGGTTCAGGGCGTGATGCCTTGGCACTGCAGGCTGACTGCGTGGTCCACCACACTTAGAGGTGCAGACTCTAGGGAGCATGCGCTCTGTGTTCTTAGTGCAGCCATTGAACAAGCCCTGAAGCTTATAGTTCAGTGCCCAGGGACAGTGATGCAGTGGGATTGGTCTTCCATCTTGACATATCAGCCTGGGCAATCCTGCTAGGTTATGCTGCACACCTTGCTTCTCAAATCCACCGTGCACCTGAGTCTCCTCAGCAATGCGTCAGGTGGGGCAGGAAGCGGGGTAAGAATCTGAAGAAAGGGAAATGGACAATGTTTGGAAAATAAAAAGCCACCTCTAGCATTGCATTTCTATCATCTGAATAATCTATATAGTAAAATACACTGAGTAGCCTTTGCTGATAATGTCTTGAGTGTCTCGATTTTTCTTTTTTGATAGTTACATACAAATGGTGTTGTAGCTTAGGGTTAGGGTGTGAAACACTGTTTCCTGTAGTCCTTGTGGAGTCTGAAGCCGCTTTCTACAGTGTTTGTTGTGTTGTAGTGTGGCTCTGACCTGTCACATGCAGTCAGCAGTGGAGTTGTCTACATGGGGCAGGTGCCTCCTGCCTTCACATTCAGATTTAGGAGCTTCTTGGATTGGGATACCCAGTCATTTGCCACATCGTCCCGTCGCTACTGTAAGACCCTTTCATCTTGTTAAGTGGCCCAAGCTGGCCTCAGACACATAGCTACAGCTCCTGAGTGCTGAGGTGATAGGTATGACCACAGTGCCTGGCTGTCTTCAGAGTTCCAGATGAGAAGTGATACGGCTGAAAGGCAGGTGGTACCTCTGCACATGATCCACCCGTGATCCACAGACTTGGAGGCACTCTCAGGGCGCTAGTTCTGATTGGAACAGGTACTGTGCTGGGCTAGAGGACTAAGATAGTCCGTTCAGCCACTGACTAAAGACCCACGCCTCTGCCGTTATGGGTCTACGCTTATGTGACCTGACAGATGGAAAAGACTTAGTAAAGATGAGTGTGAATGGAGAAGGTAGTGTGAGTTGCTGCAGTTGATGCACGTAGTTACTGCCATAGTCCCAGGTGGGTGGTGGGCGGACATGCCCTCAGATAGTTTCAGCCTGAGAATTGGAGATCTGTGCATAAAGCATCAGTAAATATGGTAGGCTTTTGTTTCCCAGGGATTAAGAATTGTTCTTTTTCTTAACCCTCAAGGCAAATGAAAAGAAAGTTGATCAGCCTCCAGAAGCCAAAAAACCTAAAATCAAAGTGGTGAATGTTGAGCTGCCTGTAGAAGCCAACTTGGTCTGGCAGTTAGGGAGAGACCTTCTTAACATGTACATTGAGACAGAGGTGAGTGCTGCTTTCCATAGGTGTCTCTGGCTGCTGGGTTCTGCATACGTACTGCAGGGGCTAAGGGACCCATTCTTTACCAGAGATGGCATGGAGGCACAAGGAATAGGCCTTCCCATTTGTTCCTAGGGAGTTTGGGTGTGAGTACTGGAGGTCTGTGCTTCCTTCCAGGAGTTGTGCTTGCTTGAGAATTGCTTTGTTCCTTTGAAGTAATTGCTTGAGAATCTGAGCACAGGCACGGGAGGAAGCAGGCCGTCGAATGACCGACTCTCTTAAAACACCTGTGGCCTCAACTGAGCCTTCCTAGTTTCAGAGTCAAGAAACTGACAGTGACTGCGGTCCACTGCACTGGATTTAGAAACTTAGTAGAAATTGCCTATTTCTAATGTATGAGTAATGAAAAGTGGGGTGGCTAACGTCACATCAGAAAACAGCTTCTCCATGTGTACTTATAAATTGGAGGGCCGGGACATTTTGTAGAAAAGGCTTTGTGGTCATCGTCCTGACGTGTTGCCTAACCTCTGCCTCCTGACAGGGGAAGATGATAATGCAGGACAAACTGGAGAAGGAGAGGAACGATGCTAAAAACGCAGTGGAGGAGTGTGTATATGAGTTCAGAGACAAGCTGTGCGGACCTTATGAGAGATTCATATGCGAGCAGGTACGCTTCAGGGCCCTGGTCTAGATAGTCCAGAGTGGTTGAGAGTCGGGTTTAACACTGACTCCTCTGTGTTGTGGTCACTCGAGTGTTCCGAGAACTAACAGTTGGAGAGCAGAAGCTGAGCCGGGCCTGGAGAGAGGCCCACCTGCCGTGAGTGTTGCAGGTCACACTAGTAGTCTGCACTGTCCAGACATCTGCTCCTGAGTCTGGCATGTGACCTGGGCCTGGAAAGAGAGATAAGAGCCCTTCCCTTCTGTGATGGTGTTCTTGGGGCAGCCGTCTGTTGCTGTCCCCCTGTGAGGCATGGCCCATCACCACACTGTTAGTGAGCATCTCGGTCCTCTTCGCCCCTTCTTTGCCTAAGTGAAGCTCTGGGTCAGTCCAGGAGCACAGCTGTGTGACAGATGGGACTTGGAAAAAGACTGACCAGACAACCACTTAGTATGGTTTGGGGATGAACACCTGGTATGGTGTGGGGATGCTTTATACTGGGGTTAGGACCACCCCCACCACCAACACCATCACCACCACCCCCGTCCCCGACCCTGGAGCTGCTTTATACTGGGGTTAGGACCCCACCACCCCCGACCCTGGAGCTGCTTTATACTGGGGTCCCCTGACCCTGGAGCTGCCCTGCGGTGTACTTTAGTTTGTACCTGTGCCGGACATAATCGCTCCTCCATGACCCAAGCCTGACCTGGAGCTGAGTTTCTCGAGTATAGCATTATGAGTTAAAAGCAGTGCTAAAATTATGTAAGGCAAAAGCCCAGTGCCTGCCGCACGTGACGCCATAGGACTCTAGTTAATGTGAAGGACTCAGTGTCCGGTTCCTCCCCAGGTGAGCTGCCTGGGGGCACTGCTAAGATGCCTGCTTGGGTGAAGAACCTCTGGGGTGAGGTGCCACTAATGTTTGACTTTCCTATAAAGGAACATGAGAAGTTCCTAAGGCTTCTCACAGAGACGGAAGACTGGCTGTATGAGGAAGGAGAGGACCAAGCTAAGCAAGCGTACATTGACAAGTTGGAAGAGTTGATGGTAAGCTCTTTCCTCCCTGAAAGGCTCAACAATAAGCCGTAGACGGTTATTGAAGGTAGGTTTGGCAACTGTTAACGCCGTGTGTTACATTTTAGAAAATGGGCACTCCTGTTAAAGTCCGATTTCAAGAAGCCGAGGAGCGCCCGAAAGTGCTGGAGGAGCTGGGGCAGCGGCTGCAGCACTATGCCAAGATTGCAGCGGACTTCAGAAGCAAGGTGGGTGCTGGTCTCTCGCCCCAGGACTGACTGCCACTGAGCCAGCACCTGGCCTCAGAGTCTCTCTCCTAATAGATGGGAGGGGTGTTGGTGTTTTGGATCAGCGTGGATTTGAACTTGGGGAAAGTGTCTGCTCAGTCCTCTATAGTATCTGTGTATTTTCTGTCCAGGATGAGAAATACAACCACATTGATGAATCTGAAATGAAGAAGGTTGAGAAGTCTGTTAATGAGGTGATGGAGTGGATGAACAATGTTATGAACGCTCAGGCTAAAAGGAGTCTGGACCAGGACCCTGTTGTGCGCACTCAGGAAATAAGGGCGAAGGTCAAGGTGAGTGTGTCAGCTTTGGACTGGACTCTGTCATTCAGCTTGACGCGTGGCATTTTCCCTCTAAATCTTTGACCTCCTCTGTACCAGTACTGGCTTCCCTGATTCATTATTGCCATTGCAAACATTGATCCTGGTCGGCTGCAGGGTGCCAGCAGTTGCTGTCTGTCTGTCTGTCTCGAGGAAACAGACACTGAGTGCTGCACAGCCAGTCCTGCCCCTGTGGGAAGGCGACCAGCAACAGAGTCAGGTGCTGGTGCTGGTCCTGTGGGGAAAGTAAAGGGGGGGAGTTTGTCAGGATGCTGAGGGGAGCAGCTGGCTTGGGCATTTGACCAGGGACAGTCTCTCACTGTGCTAGAGTCCTGAGAAGAAAATGAAGTGCTTGTCTGGTAACACACGAGAGGAAGACCAGGGGAGAGTGGGCCTTTTTGGCCACTTTTAAGTTCAACCTATAAACCTCATCTTGAAGTGACTTTTTTACCTCGAGTCATTGTCCTGTCCGTATTGTGGCGTTCATTCATAATTCCTACATTTTATGTTGCAGCGATAAGGTAGCATCCATAGCCATCTAGCAAGTCCCCAAGAAACCCTAGGAGGTAGTCACTTTGATTGGGGTTGTCACTATGGTTTGTACAGATATGCTGAGAAAATGGAATTGGGTCAGAACATACTCGATCAGAAGTTATGAGGAAGTAGATGAATGAACTGGGTGGATCAGCGTTTACATAATGACTAATTTTGTCGTCTTAGGAACTGAACAATGTTTGTGAGCCTGTTGTAACGCAACCCAAACCAAAAATTGAATCCCCTAAACTGGAGAGAACTCCAAATGGCCCAAATCTTGACAAGAAAGAAGATGTAGAAGGCAAAGATAATTTTGGTGCTGAAGCTCCGCATCAGAACGGTGAATGCCATCCTAACGAAAAGGACTCTGTCAGCATGGACCTAGACTAGGCGCTGCGCCAGCCTCCTCCCCACTTCATGAAATATGTCTGTCTGCCATAGTATGTGATTCTGTACAACAGACTGAGTCTATTTATATTTTCTTTGTTTTAAGACTGTCTAGAAATATTGTGTATTATATGGGGAAAAGGAAAAGCTGGAGTCTGTAGTCTTTGCCCCTAAGGGAGAATGGCCTTGGTGACAGTCGTGTGGGGGTGTGACCCACGCGGAGCGCTGTGCAGCATTGCCGCTGGGACCGCCGAGGAGTGGAGTGTTTGCCGAGGAGACGGACTCCACTTGCTTGTCCAGCGCTCCGTGATGAGCATCTGGGAGCGGTTCTCACCAAGGTTGGGTTCTTTTGCATTTTGCTGTCCATTTCCGCATGTGTGTGGCCGTGGTGTTTATAAATGAGATGAAGTCTGATTGGCACAAGGGCTTTCCAGAACTAAGTCTGTCCCGTAGAGTGATTTTGCTTTCATTATTACAAACCCAACGAGCACAGCGCAGCTAGTGAGCTGTAGCAGCATGCGAAGCAAGGCTGTAACTCCCCACACAGTGCACTGTCCCGTGGAGTGTGACACGGGAGCTGTCCGATCATGTGATCATTGTGAACGCCTCATGAGCTTTCAATAAAGTTCACCCTGTGGTGTCATTTCTAAACCGCTGGCTTCGTCGCTGACTCAGAACGGCACAGTGTCTGCAGAGAGTAGCTTCAGATCCCCCCTGGCAGACCCTGCTGGCACCCTTGACCAGCCTGGCCCTTGTCCTCTCGTGGCTGACCAACTGTGTGGGCAGGTGTGCTGATGAGGACCCGCCCAAGGTTTTTCTACAACTGTAAGCCCAGAAGTTCTCAAGTGTTGCCCAGTATTACGAGTTCACAACGTGGGTGAATTCTGTCTGAAGCCGAATCCCACCATGGTTGGGCTCGATTGTTCTTCAGTAGTTCAGTTGGCCTTAAAGGTTTTGCTATATAGAGTAGCATTTGGCTCCCTAGCATAGGGAACCATGGTTGTCAGCAAGTGGCAGAGGAAATTTCTTCACCTCATGTCAGCCAGGAAGCCCAGAAAAAGCAGATTTGGTCAGTATCGTCTTCAAAGGCATGCCTGCTAGCAAGGTTCTATCCAGATTCTCCTTAGCCAGTGTGCCACAGCTAGAGACCTCTCAAACGTAAGGCTGTGTGTTTGTTTTTGTGTCTGAAAACTTCAGTTTGGGCATTGGGAAGCTTATACCTAATGTGCACAGACACCACCCTGGAGATTTCCTGCTGTATTGGTTGATATTTTGGTAGTCTCGGGTGGGCACATTATAAAAAGATAGATCCATTTTGGAAGCTGAAATGCAATTGGCACAGCACTAGCTCTGGAAAATTCCCTGACTGCATCACAGAACGGTGGATGCCCTCAAGGATGGAGTGCTTGAGAGATGATTGCTGTGTGAGGGAGCCAAAGAGACTGGGAGCTGCCAGTCCTGCTCTGCTCTAAGCAGAGATAAGCATGGTCCCCTAAGTTACCTACCAACTCCTGAGGGCAGCATCTCCAACATACAAACTCCAGCAAGTCTTATCCAAGCAAACCAATTCCAATTCCAATGTGCTTGGAGTTGCATTTATGATGAACAAAATATAGAAAAGTACAGAGATGGGCCCGGCTGAGGGGAGGGAAGAAGGTCTGGACAAGATTACCAAGTGCTTGATAACTCATTTAGATCCTGGTGGTTTTCCAAGGTCCACATGACCTTGGCGTCGCCCTCAGCTACTTAATTCCCTCTGTAGAAGGAGCTCGTGCCTCCACGATGGTGGTTAAAGGTTATTGAAGCAACTAGAGCAGTGTCTTAGGATCTTGCACAGTGAGCATCCACTGTGGGTTTGATGACAGTAGGTGAGCTGTCTGCTGACCCGTCCCTGAGTCTGCAGTACCCCAGCACACGGCACGCACAAGCATGGTCCCCCTTTGGTGCTGTCTGAAAGTGTTCTATATCCATGCTGCCATGCATCGGGAGCATGCCTTGCTTCCTGATTGGTGAACCACACACCGCTGCTGTGTGTTTAGTGGAACCCCAGTCTGTTTGTTACTGGTGGGTGCCCAGGGCTCCCTCTAGGTTCCGGGGCATCTGTGAGCCAGAAGGTGCCAATGATGTCTAGAGAACTATAATTTGCAGCCCAGAAGCATCAGACGGTTCTTTGTGGTCCCAAAAGCGTGCTGACCGATGAGGGACTTCTGAGTTGCCATTTGCCCAAGTCAGTTGAGCACATTCTCAAAGAGTAGTGGTGGGAAGTGTGGGCGCACTCGAAGGGAGGGAGGTTTCAAAGGCAAAATGAGAAATACACAGCATACTTGAACCCAGACTCCTTGGGCTCATGACTGACGGTTGTGGGCATCTAGAGACAAGAGTAAGGCAGGCAAGGATTGACAGAGTCAGGATGGATGACCTGAGTGAGGCTGGGCACGGGGTTGGCTTTTACGGGAGGATGCTCTGGATGGGCACAGTTGCCTTCACTGAAGGCTGGGGTGTGGGTGGTCCTTGTGGTTTTAGCAAAGTTTGAAGGTCCCTCCGGGTTTTACTATTTTTTGCTTGCGGCTTGACACAATTCCTTCTGGATTCTGACTGTTTTCACACATCAACAAACCCTTAACCACCAAGTCAACACTTATTGTTAGTACTGTAATGCTCTCATTTCTCATCTTTATGGGCAGAAAACGGTGCGAACACAGGGCCAGTCTCTCTCAGGCTCAGCACACATCTTCCCATGCACTTCTCACAGGGGCCTTCTGTCCTGACACTGGCTCCCGCTGTGCCCAAGAAAACACTCCTGATACAGCTGTAGCATCAGGTCCCATCACTCTCTCACAAAACGTCATTTACAACTCTTGGATCTGAGATACAATCAAAGATCACTGACTGGAATTACCCCGATCCACACAACAGTTCAGGATCTTAAGTTTTGCTTGAGAATTTTGGATGCTTCCCACCTACCAGACCAAAGCTTTTAACCTGGGCGGGGCCTTTGGCCACCTGACAGGTAAAGCTGCCGGGGCAACCTGATTAAAGTCCTGTTTATCCTTATTGGATGGTATATAGCTAAGATCAAATGAATCCTGGGCTTAGCAGCCATGAGGATAAAACCTATGGTGTTACCTCTCAGGGCACATGTATAGACGGCAAAATGTCCATTCTGCACTCTTGGGCTGATGCATTTCCCACACCAGCTGTGTGTTCTGGCTGTTTGGATTGTTGTGTGTTCTGTGTAGGTTTGAGCCCTTGTCCTCAGGGAGGAGGCAGCCTACTCTGTGCTAGACAGGCCACTGGCTGGTCAATGAAAGAACCCAGCTGAAAGCACATGGTCCAAAGAGTGGGCCACAGGAAGAATGGTGGCTGTTCAGTTCAATACAGCAGGGCTCTGGGTGTGAAACTCAGAAGGCCAAGCTGAAACAGACCGAGCAGGCAGTGGTCCAGGCAGCAAGTGTGGATGCTCAGATGTGTTCCACCAAGAGGAACTTGAGTTCCACGAACTCACTGTCTCGAGCGGAGGTGTGTGACCCAGCCACTATTGTTGAGTGACTAATAGGCTCCACATGAAAAACCTTCAGAAGGCTAGTATTGAGGGTGTCAGAAGAAACCAAAGGATTGGCCAGAAAACTAGACGGGAGACCAGGCCTATGAGGATGCACAGGACAGGAGAGCCACAAAATGTGCTCTGGTGATTTCTACAAATGGTTGCCGTAGAAGGGACCACTCACTGCTGCGTTCCAAAAGCATACTGGACAGGCAGAATTAGGAAATCGAATGGTCACCTGGAGGCAGTAAATGACTTCGAGAGTCCATATGTATCCCGGGGAACCAGGGCTGGGGGTGGAAGGTCCACACTAGGTCTGAAGAACACAGACTTCTTAGCTCAATTTATCAAGGGATTACTGTACTTGCCTTTTGCCCATTGAATCAAGACCTGGAAATCAGAGACTAACCCTGCAAACTCAAGGGACCCTTGAGTGTCCTGTGTCTATCTGTCCATCTGGCTTCCCCAGGTCTTGCCCTCAGCCTCATACCTGTTTCCTGCCTGGGACCTTCTGGAAGGATCTGTGTCAGCCAATAGCTAACTTCATCCTTGATGCACTTACAATACAGTTGTCTCGTCACAAAGCATTTCTAACTCCATTCCTCAGAGAAATAATAAAATTGTGTGATTAAGACCTAATGGCTTGGCCTGGGGAGATGGCTCAGTGGTTAAGGGCACTGGCTGCTCTTCCAGAGGTCTTGAGTTCAATTCCCAGCAACCACATGGTGGCTCACAACCATCTGTAAGGGGATCTGATGCCCTCTTCTGTCTGATACCCACTTCCATCATGCAGGCATTCAAGCAAATAGAGCACTCATAGACAGGAAATAAATATTTTAAAAAAGATTGCATCAGCCCAGTCACCAGTGTGGTAGATGGCATTTTGGTCGCTTCCAGGACACAGGGAGGGCACAGTCAGGACTGGGGCCACCTCTGGTGCAGGAGAGCAGACCTGTGGGCCTAGGCCTGTGGGGTAACAGAAGCGCAACTCTGGCCAGCGTCTTGTGGAATCACATTCTTCCTATGGCACCATTTTCTCCCTGAGTTAGTATGCCCCCTCTCCCGCCCCGTCCCCCCTACTCCCCCTCCACTCCTCCCACTGCCCTGGTTTAAGAGCAGTGGCTGGGTGCTATTGTCCTACAATTGGTATGGAAACCTGGGCTGGCTGAAGAGGGTCCTGAAAATGAGAAGAGGAAGAGAGGTGTTAAGGCAGGCCTGGGGCTTTGGTGAGAAGGACCATAGTTCACCCCAAATTCTATTTCCTTGGCATGGTAGCCCTGCCTGTCCACACACACACACTAGTTCATAGATACAGAGCTCCACACAGGATTGGCCCAGGAGTGATCTGCATTATGGGAGGACATCCTTTACCTGTTCCTCAAACCCCTGCTCAGGAACCCCTTCCCCAGGGACCGTCCCCAATCTCCTGAGCCCCGCCCCCTCTCCTTCACAGTGCTACTTCATAGTGATATACATCTCTGTGCCACCAGGCTGCATGCTCTTTGGAAAAAAAGCAGATTCCTAGTTCCGTTTGTGTCCCCAGAGTGTACCAGGAGCCTGACACGCATGAAATGTGAACTGCATGAGGAAGTGAAACTGCAGTTCAGCTCTGGCGGGGCTCCACGTGCCTCAGGGGACTCTGCCGCCTGCTAGAAAGCATGGGGTCTGTGTTAGCTTTCTGGGCCTGCCACTGGCACACAGTAACCATAGGCTGCCTTCAAACACACGTTTATTGTGAACCAAGGTGTGGGCAGAACGTGCTCTGGGGGTGTCTCAGTGCGTCCTGTCTGCCTCTTCCAGGCTCTGGGGGCCACCCTGCCTTCCCCCCTCTCCTCCTCCTTCTCTTCCCCCGCTTTCCCATGTGTCTCTTATAAGGAAACCAGAAAAATCCAGTGATCTATCTCAATACCCAGAACATCATTCAGTCTGCAGATCTTTCACTGGCAGCCCCGGTGTGGTCAGGGTTAAAAGGGGACAGAACGGCCACCAGCTCCTTTGATCTGGCACCTATACTGGCCACAGAGGGACTGATCCCCATCCCTGCCACCCCCCAGCTCCTAGGAGCCACATCTAGCCTCTCCTGAGTATTGGGGTGGAGGAAAAGCCAAGTCCCTCTTGATAAATCTCTATCTCTTAGAGCAGTTGCCTTCTGGAAGTCTCCATTTCCTCACTGGTAAGATAGCTGCTAACAGTGTCTATACCCAGGGTATTGTTAGGAATTGATGGGAGACCACATCTGTCTGAAAGCAGGCCTCCCTGGCAAAAAAGCACACTAGCAAAATGTCATCTGTGTTTCCCAGCAGCCTCCCTGCTCGGCCCTGCCCTCAGCCTCCCCAGAGGCAGATGCCCTAAGTGGTAGGTGGAATGTGGAGGAGCTGGCTGTGGCCACCTGCTCTGGATTTCCCACACACAGTCAAACATTGACTCTCCAGAATGAACACTGTGAATCCAACTTGTTCTCTGAAATTTCAGCTCTAATTGCTGCGGGATGAGCCCACCTGGGCTGAGACCATTTTTCTTTTTGTTCTCCTTTGCTCCCACAGGGCAAAGCTCAATCTCAGTTAGACCTTTCCATTACACAGGAAAGAACTAGCCAAGCACGGAAGCGGAGGCCCTTAGCACTCGGGCAAGAAACTGCTCCAGGGTGAGAGTTCCTTCCTTCCCAGCAGCTCTGCCTCTCTTTCCTGGCTGTGGAAACTGATGGTGAACGCGTCCGCACCAATGATGGACAGATCTGGCTTCTCCCCAGGAGCAGACACACAGGCGACCTCATGGCACCGGAGGCCCTGGTAAATGCTGGGCCATTTGAGCTCGGGCATCTTCCAGTGAGGCCTTCTTCTTGCTGGCAGCAGTCTGGGGGAAGAGAGTAAGTGTGAGGATTTTGGGGGGGTGTCTGGAGACAGGCAGCTACAAGAGCCCCCAACTGAGCATCCCAGCATGCCTTCCAAATGCACGTGTCTGTGTGGTCCCTTCCCCTTGGCTGTACGTCACCAACTCTTTCTGGCCATTTCTAGGGACTTCAGAAAGCCAACTGCTCCTACCTGTTACAATTCTTTTCTTGTTCCAATTGCTTTCCCACCCCAACACCATTTCAATTACATTGAACAACTCAGGTCCAGAACTTGTCCCTCTTCTCTCTTCCTTTAGGGCGTTGTCCTTTCATATTCTTACATCTTCTCTTTTTATTTTTTTTTTGAAAAATATTTTTGTTTTATGTGTATGAGTGTTTTGCCTGCATGTGTGTCTGTGTGCTGTGTATGTGCAGTGCCTGTGGAGGCCAGAAGAGGGCATCATATCCCCGGAACTGGAGTTACAGATGGTTTGTGAACTGCTGTGTGGGTGCTGGGAACTGAACCCGGGGCCTCTGGAAGAGCAACAAGTGCTTTTAACAAGGGTCATCTTTCCAGTCCCCTCACTTCTTTATTTTTAATTGTGGTATAAAATACGTCGTATAAGTTGACCACCTGAACCAAATACGTATTTAGTACCTTCACACTGCTGTACGACCACCATCACCATCCGTTTCCAGAACTTACTTTCTTTTGTAGTTTCCTTAGACAGGGTCCCATACAGCCTAGGGCTGGTCTCTGGCCTTTTAAACTCCCTTTACAGCTGAGGGTGACCTGGAACTCCTGATTTTCCTGCCTTCCCAAGTGCCAGGACTGTATCCACATTCCACCATGTTCAGCTCCCAAACCTTACAACACTGAACACATGGGCATTAAACAACATCTCTCCATTCTCATCTCCCCTAACAGCAGCCATTCTGCTTTGACTCTGATGAGTCTGATTGTTCTGGGTACCTTGTGCCTTGGAATCAGGCAGTTTTTGTCATTTTGTGACTGGTTTGTTTCCTTTAGCACAATATCCTTAGGTTCATCCATGTGGTAACACCTCTGTCTCCTTTTAAACCCCTTTTAAAGTGGCCACATCCTAGTGTTTACACTAATATCTTTCAGGTATCAACATGAATTCCCTCTCTCCAAACACCTTCTCCCCCAACATCCCCTGGACCAGTGTTCCCATAGTGCTCCATGCTCCTCCTGTTGGGGAATATTATTTTAAGATGTGTTACTTTTGTTTATGTTGCATTTGTTTAACTCTGTGAAGCTGTGTTACTTTACCTGTCTAAAACACCTTGTTGGGCCCCATAAGGCCTGGGTGCGAGGCCCAGTGTAACTTCCCGAGCCTAGCTCGAGTTTGGCGACCTGTCCTCAGACATGACTTCCACAGACGAGAGACTCAGCACTACCGACCTAGAATCGCCTCTGCCTAGTAACTGCTGAGATGGCATCATTTCATTGGCCCACTATCCTCACCCCATCTCCCCATCACCCCAACCTATATAAGTCCACTCGTGATGCAATAAAGCGAATTCCTGCTTTGACAAGACTCCCAGCCCAGTGTGTTTCTCTCTGGTGGAATGGGGGGGTCTGGGCCATTGACACTCATTATTCCACTAGCCCAGGGAAAGATTGACTGGACCGGTCCTGCCTCTGCCTGTCTGTCAGTCAGACTGACACACCTGATGGTATAGTAAAGAACTGAATGGCCAATAGTGAGGCAGGAGAAAGGATAGGTGGGGCTGGCAGGCAAAAAGAATTAAAAGAAGGAGAAATGTGGGAGGAGAAGCAGCCAGAGAAAGAGGAGGACATCAGAGGCCAGCCACCCAGCTACACAGCAAGCCACAGAGTAAGAGTAAGATTTACAGAAGTAAGAGAATGGGAAAAGCCCAGAGGCAAAAGAGACAGGTTAAGTTAAGGAAAGCTGACTAGCAACAAGCCAAGCTAAGGCCAAGCATTTATAATTAAGAATAAGCCTCCATGTGTGATTTATTTGGCAGCTGGGTGACTGGCCCCCCAAAAGAGCAAAAACAAACAACTATACCTCCCATCATGCAAGAGCCAAGCGATGAAGTGATGGAGGCTGGAGACCTGTCTTTCCCTCTTCAGGACAGACTCCTCTCTGTTTGTGGATGTGTCCCCATGTTGGATTACAGTACAGTGTAGGCACAGAGCAATGCCCAACAAATACTGTGAAGTAATGTCTAATAGGCTTCCCCCAAAGGCACTCAGAATGATTTTCAAAACAAACAAACAAACCAACAAACAAATCTGAATGTTCAGGGGAATGAGGGGTACTAACCAGCTTCCTGCAACATGGTTTGTCTCTGAGTTCTGCTGCCATCTTGGTCCCTTGTTCTCCGGCCTGTCCTGTAGTCCCTGCCAAAAGCTAGTCTATTCCCTGCTTTACTCCATGCACGTCCTCCAGGCCATCTATTCCTGGTACCATTTCTTTGGAAAGGATTCCCAGTCATCTTCCCATGCCTTGACTCCCACTGCTGAGCCCGGAAGGCACCTTCTCCCAGATGTCTTCCCACCATTCTGTTTCAACTTTAAAAGGACCCCAGGCAACAGGCGTATCAGTGAGTTGCCTGAGTGCCAACCTTGGGGCTGTGTTCTGCAGGCTATGGAAGCTTGGTTCACAGTCATCCGCCACTTGCCCAAGGCATCCCCATGTTTAGAGCAGGTGCGTCTCTGTCTTTTCTTTGTATGTTCACATAAAGGCCCAAGGCTTGTTCTCAGAGGAGAGCTGTGGGAGAGCTAAAGAGCAGTGAGGCCATACCTGTGCCTGGCCACCTCCTAGTGATTTAACTTCAGGTGAGCAGTGCAGTCTCCCAAAGCCTCACTTTCCTCCTCTGTGGAGATCACCAATGGGGTGTTCTCCAGGGATATAATGAGGAATGAGCAAAGTCCTTGTTGTGGAATATTCCTACACACTGTGTGAATATATGTCACTGTGATTGGTTTAATAAAAAGCTAACTGGGGGCTGGAGAGATGGCTCAGCGGTTAAGAGCACTGGCTGCTCTTCCAGAGGTCCTGAATTCAATTCCCAGCACCCACATGGTGGCTCACAGCCATCTGTAATGAGATCTGGCGCCCTCTTCTGGCCGGCAGGGATTCATGCAAGCAGAACACTGTATACATAATAAATAAATCTTTAAAAAAAAAAAAAAGCTAAATGGCCAATAGCTAGGTAGGATTTTCAGGGCAGAGAGAATGCTGGGAAGAAAGGCAGAGATGCCAGGAGTCTAGAGCCAGACTCAGAGGAAGCATGGTATGTAGGAGACGCCAGGGATGCAGAGCAAGCAGCATGGGCCTTACAAAGTAAAGGTAACCAAGCCACATAAAAGAATGTCGATCAAAAGACATGGCTTAAGTTATAACAGCTAGTTAAAAACAAGCCTAAGCAATTGGCTGAGCTCTCATAATTAATAAGTCTCTGTGTTGTTGTTGTTTTTTGTGAACTAGTGGCCTAAAGAAAAATCCATCTACAAGTCCTATTGAATTTAATGTCTCGGATGGCCTTGGGTGGGAGACCTTCCACACGTGGGCCTCATTAAGACAGTGGAAAGAAGAGCACCTTGTCCAAGAGCTGTCAATGAAGTCCTCCCTCCCCCGACCTGTGACCTTTCTGGCTTTCTATGTATAGCCAAGCTACCCAGGGAAAACTTGACTTGACTTCCAGGGAATCCGTTGCATGGAGGATCCCTGCAGTAGATGCTTTCTGAAAGGAACTGGTGGTCTGAGCGACTCCACCTCTACCCACCCTGCAAATAAATGCTCACAGCCCTGTGAGTGCTCTCATGTCATAGACAGCAACTGTAACCTTCTGCCCGAATGGGGAGAGCTGCGTGCTTACCCAGAATCAGCTGTCTGTCTTCAAACCTGCCTACGCCTCTTGTATACTTGGTCAGGATTATGAATTTATTCGAACAAAGTGAAAATTATATGAATGGGAAATAATGAGAAAAACAAGACTTTGTGAAGGCTGAAGACAGGGCTTTGAAATGAGGAGCTGACGGATGATAGAGAATCGAGGGTAAACAACTGTTAGAGTTTGAGGGAATTCTAGAAACTGGGAAGGGCATTGCACTTCCATGCTTTGCAAACGTGCTCATCTTCCAGTTTTGCTGTGGCCGTGTGACTGAGGGCTGCCCCTTAAGATGCGAACAGAAGTAAGTAGAAACTCCTATAATGTTTCATAAAGGATGCTGATCCAGCTGGAAAGTGGATGCCCTGGGCCCCCACTCCCTATGCCTCTGTTTGCACTTTTGGGGTGTGGGTGGAAGGCGAGGGTCCCTGAAGCTGTCTTTACTGTTAGAGAATTGTGGAGATGGAAACAGTCTCCACAGGGAAGGAGCTTGAGCTCGTGATGAGCATGACACATGGTGAGGATGTGGCTGTCCCTCACCCAGGCTCTAAACCTAGAGTCTACGGTGAGAGAGGCCTCAGAGGACACTGGAGGGGCTGTTTCCTTGGGTCTGTAGGTGACCAGGACTTAGAGAAGAACATCTCGGGGATCTGGAGAGGAATATTCATTCTGCTTCTCTAGAACCTGCACCATGTTTCAGTGCACGGGGACCTGGACTACATACAGGGCTTTGAGGTAGCCTGGGATTTGCAACTTCGGGAGCCCTGGGGCCTTCCTCCTCACTCCCTGTCCTCAGGAAGCCAGAAGGGCTACACAGGGCACCTGTGTGAGGGACGGTGAGGCCACACTGCCTCTTGTGCTGCTGAGGCCAGGAACACCAGCTACAGAGCTGACGGCAAAGACGGTTGTACCGGCCTTGGTCATGTGCGGTAGCCAGATAAAACATTGGGGGGGGGGGTTAAATCACATAGATAAGACACAATGGGTGACACTTGGGTAGTGACCTCAGTTATACTCTCAGGCTGGGGGCGCTGAGGGACAAGTAACGCATGTAGGAATCAGAGAGGGCTGCAGGCCTCAGCCAGGAACGGCTGCGGCTGCATTCTTTCCAGACTGACCTGCTGCGGCAAAACGCAGACCATGGGCTTTTGTCTTCTTTCACCTCCGCTTCAACAAGGGGACCTTCTAGGGAGGGGAGGGGAGGGGTCTTTTCAGTCTGGAGGAAGAAGACAGAGATGTAAGAGCAGGAACCGTGACCCCTCTGGTACCTGGGGCCAAGTGCCACCTGTGGGGCGCATGGCTTTTCTGTGTGAGAACCAGACTCAGGCTGGCTGACCTGGCCAGAGGGCAAGAGCACGTCCCCTGGGGCTTTAGTGCTGTTCGGTCTCAGCACCAGCTAGCCTGCAGCATTGTCCCGTGAGCGCTCCTCAACCTCTAGTCAGTTTACTTTGACTATGGCTGTCTGCTACCTCTTGGCGGCTTGGAAGAGGCAACACCAACATTCAGAGTCCAAGGAATCCATTAGGCTTTTCTTGAACAGGGATTTAGACAAGCACACACTTTTTAAGGCTGGGAAGAAACGTCTAGATCATCTCAACCCACCCTCCATTCTATAACTCAGCAGAAGGGACTGCTGGAGATCACATGACTAGTGCATTGACTTGAGCGTGGAAGCCAGGGATCCCTCTCTCAGGAACAACCATGAAACACCTTATTCTGCAATTTTGCCCTTTGGATTCCTGGTCCAAATGCACTGTATAAGGGCTCAGGGGGTTGTTTTCTGTCCTTTTTAATCTAAGAAGTAACTTTGTGGTGTTTTGAACGAGAAGTCCCCTAGTCTTGGGCGTTTGAATACTTGGTCCCTGTCTTATTTATAGTTTCTGTTGCTGCAATGAAACACCATGACCAAAGCCAGTCAGGGAGGAGAGGGCTTATTGGACTTACACTTCAGCATTGCTGCTCATCACCGAAGGAGTCAGGACAGGAACTCAAACAGGGCAGGAACCTGGAGGCAGGAGCTGATGCAGAGGCCACGGAGGGGTGCTGCTTACTGGCTTGCTCCTCATGGCTTGCTCAGCCTGCTTTCTTGTAGAACCCAGGACTACCAGGTGGGGGATGGAACCACTCACAATGAGCTGAGCCCTCCCCCATTGATCACTAATTAAGAAAATGCCCAACAGGATTGCCTACGGCCAGATCTTATGAAGGCATTTTCTCCCTCCTTTCAGATGACTGACTCTAGCTTGTGTCAAGTTGACATAAAACTAGCCAGGACAATTGACCTGGTGGTAGTTTGAATGTAATCGGCCCCCAAAAGCTCATAGGGAGTAACATTATTAGGAGGCGTGGCCTTGTTGAAGGAAGTGTGTCACTGTGGAGGCAGGCTTTGAGGTTTCCTATGCTCAACGCACACTCAGTGTCTCAGACCACGCCCTGTTGCCTACAATGGTAGGACTCTCAGATACTTCTCCAGCACTGTGTCTGCCTGCAGGCCGCCATGCTGTCAGCCACCATGATGACAATGGACTAAACCTCTGCAAATGTAAGCCACCCCAGTTAAATGTTTTCCCTTCGTAGGAGTCATGGTGTCTCTTTACAGCAATCCATACCCTAACTAAGGCAGACCCCTTGTCACCTTGACACACCAACATACCACTGTTAAAAGCCATCATCTTCCCTTTCTTGTTCATCCCCAACGTCACACATTAACATCAAAGTCACAGGATAAACCATTTTAACATCTTTAAAAGTTCCATAGTCTTTACAGAGTCAAACACTTTAAAATACAGTCTCCTTAAAAAAAAAAAAATCCCAAGTCTCTTTTAAAACCTAAAATCGCTTTTAAAATTCTGTCTCCCAACTGTGGGCTCCTGTAAAATTAAAAATAAATTATTTTCTTACTTCAAGATGGAAGAACCCGTCACAATCAAACACAAGCAAAACCAAACTCTGACAGTACAAATAACTCAATGGCCAATGTCTGGGCTTCACTCAGCTCTTCCAGCCTCCTCCAGGGAACTTTGGTCACTTCTTTGGCTCAGCTCTCTACAGTACACACAACTTCTTGTCTAGGCTCAGGCCAGCTCCACTCCACACCTGCTGCTGTTCTTGGAGGCCATCCCATCATACCAGCATCTCCAAAATTGCTGGGCCCCTGGCTGCAACTGGGTTGCACTTTCACCAATAGCTTCTCCTGGGCTCTCTTCAGGGACTTCAGCCCTGCCACACAGTGCCAAGCGTAGGGTGCTCTCCATGACCCCTTCGTGCCTTTAAAACCAGAACCACCTGGGTGACTCTCACACTACCAAGTTCAACGGCCAGCACGAGGTACAAACTTGGCTTCTTCGGAAACACAGTTTGTGTGTGCTGACTGTGAGGACATGCTTCTCAGATGATTTCACCTCAATGATGCTGGCCTCTTCTTAATCACTGCTGGTTCCTCAGCCCCAGCTGACCAGCATCCATTGTCCCAGCAAAGGAAAGGTTTTGCTTTAGTGGTTCTTGTTAAAAATGATAAGTGGTGCTGGTTACTGGGTTGGAAAGGTCATGAGTCATGAGCCACGACAAAACCCAGTATCGGAGCTTTATTAGGAGAAGGGGGTAGACACAAGACCCAGGCCTGGGGAAAAAGCATGTGCAGAGAGAGAGAACAGAGAAGAGATAGTGGGAGGAAGAGGGAACAGAGAGGAAGGGAGGAGTCTGTGTCCGGCTTTTTAAAGGATTCCTGTGAACATGGGCAGGTGGGCTTATGAAGCTACGCCATGCATGCGCTGATTTCATGACCACACTGTGTGCATGTCATCACTAGCGCGTGAGTCACGGCACCAATGTTAAAAATGATTTCTGTCTAGGTCTGCCTCCGAACACAGGAACTGGCTGGGGCTTTGTCTTTTGTGTAGTTTTTTTTTTTTTTTTCTGTTTCTCCTTTCTCTCTTCCCACCTCCGCCTGAGCTTTTGTTTTCTAAATTGCCGGCCTATCAGAATTAATGAACACATTAGCATTCTCCATATTGAATGCTAGCTGAAATGACTGTTTCTAAATAAGTCAACAGTGCCAGCCACATTCTGAGTCTCCCCAGACCTCTGCCGCTGCGAGGTATCCCTTGGTAGCCTTGAGAACAAGATCCAGAAAGGTGCTTCAGGTGAGGCAGAGGCTGTTCCTTGTGTGTGCTGGCCTGGGTCCTTTGTTTCTATTTTGAATACCTCTGGGGCTCTAAGCGGGAGTCCGTGGCTGGGTTATACTGGGGAATCTGTATTCTGTGAGGCTGCCGAGGACAAACGGAAGATGCGATTCTGCTGGCAGAGCAGGTGTCCGGCTTTGAGTTGTGACGTAGCTGGCAAGCCGTAGCTCATGAAATGACCTTCTTTTCAATTTATGAAAGGGCAAGCATTTCTTGGAAAGCCACATATTTCATGGGAGCTCTAAATCAAGGCTGCATCGACCAGGGCCCTCTCCAAATCTCTCGCTCCGAAGTTAACGCTCATAGAGTTGAGCGTTAAGCTGAGCACAGCTTCCTCTCGGTGATTAGGAGTCCCTGCTTTGAAATGCATGCAGAATAAAGCATGGGCTGGCTGTGCAGGGTCCACCCTTCTCAGATGTGACACTAGGTTGAGCATGCTGCTCCAGGGACAGCTGCCTTTCTATAGGCAAAAGGAGGAAAGGGCTGGGAGATCCTCTCCTTCATCCCACAGATGGATCGCCTGTCCCCTGGTCCCTAGCAGTGCCATTGCCCAGGATGGGGGAGACGTGCTCTCCTTCCCTGCTGCCTTGGGTCACCAGATCTATGCTTTGATTCTCTTAGCCTGTGTGTGCACCCTGCTGTTCGGCAGAGAACCCACGAAGGAAACACAAATGGTTGGTTCAGGCACCAACCTCAAACAGGACCTTCTCCTCCATCACACCGCCCTGCTCCTGCCGTCCTCCTGAGCACCCAGCAGCAACATCTGTTTCCAGTACTAGGTGGGTGGGCATGCTCTGAGGGTCTGTCAGAACCTCAAAGGGGACTCTTGGGTGACTCCAGGAGGCAGGGGTGAAAACATCCCAGGGGTGATTCTGCCCAAAGGTCCCTGGAGGAATAAAGATAAATGAATAAATAGCATGCAAATGACAATGGGTAGCCTGTCTTCTAACCAGAGCGGAGCTTACTACTAATGTGGGTAGATCTCCTCAAGACTGGCAAGGCCACGTCAGTCCAGCTAAGCTATACCCTGGTAGTTCCACAGGAAACAAATATAGGACAACTAACCCTTGAAAGAGAATCCTAGAAAGACTCCTACAATATAGGTGTGCAGGCTGCTCAACAATGTACTAAGAACTTGGAAGATAAATTCAGTCAATCACAAACCTATTTCAAGAAACACAAGATATGGGTCAAGACAGAGTACTCAGATAGGCTACAGTTTCTCTAAGCAGTGGATTGGGCTATTCTTGGTACCATGGTCAATATATACCAGGCCCTTGTCTACCCTATAGCTGAATGTCCCTGCCTAGATATGATCCTTTATGATAAAGACAGTTCCTTCCCAAAGTGACTACCTTTAGCCCACTGATTTCAATGAGCTCAAAGGTCTTTGATTTTTATTTTTCTAATTTTGGAGACAGGAAGCTGATGTTATGGTATAGACCAAATCACATCACCCAAAAATGTAGACGTTGAAGCCCTAACCCTCAAGGTGACTGCATTTGGAGACAGGGACCCTGGTGAGGTAATTAACTTTAAATGAGGTCATAAGACCTAATAACATTAGTATTCTTGTCGGAGACAATAGAGAGCTGTCTCCATCATGAGTGGATCAAGAGGCCAGTGCTCTGAAACCCAAGAAGATTCCTCACCAGAACCTGGCCATGTGGAGACCACCATCCTGGACTTCTAAGGTCCAGAACTGAGAAGAAATAATGAGCTATGATACTCTGTTTACAGCAGCCTGAACATACTAACATACTTTAACACAGAGGACCTGTGATTCTGTGGAGCCACGGCACCTTTAGCCCTGAACCGAGGGCACTTATCTATGTAGGGATATGTCTTACAGAGGCAGACCCTTACCTATGTAGGGGTATGTCTTACAGAGGTGGGCCCTTATCTATGTAGGGGTATGTCTTACAGAGGAGAACCCTTACCTATGTAGGGGTATGTCTTACAGAGGCGGGCCCTTACCTGTGTAGGGGTATGTCTTACAGAGGAGAACCCTTACCTATGTAGGGGTATGTCTTACAGAGGCGGGCCCTTACCTGTGTAGGGGTATGTCTTACAGAGGAGAACCCTTACCTATGTAGGGGTATGTCTTACAGAGGCGGGCCCTTACCTGTGTAGGGGTATGTCTTACAGAGGAGAACCCTTACCTATGTAGGGGTATGTCTTACAGAGGCGGGCCCTTACCTGTGTAGGGGTATGTCTTACAGAGGCGGACCCTTACCTGTGTAGGGGTATGTCTTACAGAGGCGGACCCTTATCTATGTAGGGGTATGTCTTACAGAGGAGAACCCTTACCTATGTAGGGGTATGTCTTACAGAGGCGGACCCTTACCTGTGTAGGGGTATGTCTTACAGAGGAGAACCCTTACCTATGTAGGGGTATGTCTTACAGAGGCGGACCCTCACCTATGTAGGGGTATGTCTTACAGAGGCGGACCCTTACCTATGTAGGCGCCATCTTTGCTCCAGAGGCGCACAGTGCTGTCCAGGGAGGATGACAATAAGATGTTATCTCCTTCAATCAGCTCCAGACTAGCAAAATCAAAGTGGGGAAGAGCTTTGTCAAGGCTGCTCCACAAGAAAGGGAGGGACACTGGATCCAATGGAACGGACTAGAGAAGCCAGATTCATTTTTAAAAGCCATTCTCCCCCCCCCCCCACCTCCTCTCACACCTCACAGCCTCCAAAATCCCAAGTCCACTCCCAAGACATCAAGTGGGATGTACGTATGGGAAACCACCTTGCAGGTGATAGGGTGAGTGGAAGAGCAAGTGGTCAAAAAGATCTAGCAAGTTCGATCTCTCTCTCTCTCTCTCTCTCTCTCTCTCTCTCTCTCTCTCTCTCTCTCTCTCTCAGCACTGACTCCTTTTAAGCCTCGTATAAATCCAAAGCTCATAAACTTGCAGTAGAGTACCAGGTCAATACAGGGAGAGCTACCCATGAACAAGAAAAACAATGACTTGGAATCTCTCCCTTTGACCGACCCCACATGAACCACATTCATCTTGCTTCATCGGGGGCAGAATGGAAATGCAATTTTCCTCCTTGACAATCTCGAGGGGGTTTTGAGGGGACTGATTTGATCAAAACTTGAACAATTATTTCCCTTCCTTTATGTATCCTGAGCCCTTCAAAGGGATGGTACTCACGATGTCACCATGCTGACATGAGCCCTCCAGGATGTCACTGCTAAGAAAAAATAAAGAAGACATCTGAGTAGGATCCTGCAGGAAGGAGTCCAGTGAGGATGTGTGCCCAGTTGGAAGAGGCACTGATGTGTTGTTGTTGGGTCTTTCTATTTCAATTCCCTAAGTGAGCACCAAGCACCTACTGTGTGCAAGACCTCCCCCCATACCATCTCTGAAAGTGTATGAAATAGGACCAGTGTAACATACTTGCACAATGATTTTCCTCAGTGATTTTTATTTTGTGTGTGTAAGTACATGGTGTGCTTGAATGTTTGCAAGTGTGTGGGTACAGATGTGTGTGTGCACACCTGTATACAGATGTAAAGACCCTAGGTGGATGTTGGCTGTCTAGCTCCGTTGCTCTTTACTTTATTTACCAAGGTGGGGTTCACTGATGAGTCTAATCTAGCTAGCCAGCTTGCCCTGGGGTCCTCAGTCTCTGACTCCTGAGTGCTGGGATTACAGGTGGGCTGTGATGCCCACCATCCTCTCTTAGGAGAGAGGGGATGTGTGGGTGTGTGCACCTGGCTTTTGAGAGAGTGTTGGAAATACAGACCCGGTCCTTGTATAAGCATTCTCTCTCTCTCTCATAAATAATGTGTTGTTGTACAATCTTGCAAGTAAACCTCTGTGCACATTTGTCCTTTCCTCACCAAATCCTTAGAAGTAGAACTGCCATTGGCAGCACCAGACACAGGTTGTCCAAGTGCCCCTCGACGGGCACTCACCCTCTGTCCCATGTTAGCTGATGCCCCCTGTCCTGCACCCTTGCTGACATCAAATGTTTGTGGGAAACTGTTGGCTGCTTTCCAAGAACTTTAACAGTAATCCTCCGCACTGGGACAATTTAACTTTCCCACGAGACCATCACACTAAACCCAAAGCGATCTTATCTATGGCTTGACATGAAGAACTTCACTGCGTACTCTTGGGAGCCTGCAGCTCTGGTCCCTGGAGGCCGTACTCCTGGATGTCACAGACATGCACAAAGCCTTGCTGGTCAGCCAGGTAGGCAAGGGTGTCTCCTGCTGTCACCGTAATGCTGCTCACTGGGGCTTTCCCTCTGGACTGAGACACGTGGAGGGCAAGGGTAACAAGAAGGGAGAAATGTCAGGAAGATATCAAAGTGAAGAATTGGAACCCGGCTGACAATCCCAATGTGGAGGCTAGTGTCAGGGAACAAACAAGCAATGATAACAACAACACAAACCCACAGCCAGAAAGTGACCCAGTTCTTCCCCCGACTTACCGGAGTGAAGTTCGCAAGGAGGCCAGCCCCACTGAAGAGCTTCCAGAAAGCGATGGACCCTAAGTAGGAGGGAAGCAGTCAGAGGTGGGCTGCCCAGCCAACCAAGGGTTCTAAGAGTGGACTGGGCGGACCCCGTTGGTGTGGAATACTTGTTTAACCAGGCAAAGACGTGTTGCATTTGTTCATGCTGCAGTAGTTAGCTATGTAAAGATGTGTTGCCTTTGCGCTGACAAATTAACCTGGACTCACAGAGGCAGGGTTAGCAAACTGGTTGACAGGAAGTAGCGGGGGAGCTTAGCGTGGTTTTTGTTGTTGTTGTTGTTGGGGCAGTGTGGAAGGTTCCTGGACGCCAGCAAAGAGAGAAAGCTAGCCAGTTCCTAGTCTAAGTCTCGGGGCTTGCAGGGTTTCACCCTGGCCTTGGAATCTCAAGTTTTATTAGAACGGTAACGGAGGTAAAAACGGCACCCCGTGGTCTCACACTGGCGGCACATCTCTCTTCCTTACTTGCTTCATTTTCTTCCGTTAGAACTGTAAGAGCACATTGGTGGCGGTGGGGGGGGGGGTTGACACTGATGACTCAGTGGGCTCCCCTCCACTAATCAGGGTGGCCTTCTCGGCAGAAGAGGGTTCCATCTTTGGCTGTTAAGGACAGTATGTGCCGTGCTGGGAATCAACGTCTTCCAGCTGGGTGAGCGTGTGGGCGTGTGCACTGTTTTAATGAAGTGCTTGTCAGAATGTACCTGGCCTAGTGACCTCAGTTCTCGCCTGTGGTTTACCTGCGGGTTCAGGTTAGACAGGCTTTGTGAAGGCGGTGAGCATGCAGATCATCTCCTCTTGGGGTAGCTGTAGAACCCCTGCTCTCCTCTTAGGAGAGAGGGGGCTGCACTCCCACCAGGCGAAGCAAAACAGGATCAGGATGATTCAAGAAGGAAGCAAAGACAGCTGACCCCCCCCCCCCCGCCCCCCGCAACAGCACCTGATGCCGAAGAGAACCGCAGTGTGGGGCTGAGACAAGGAGGCAGAGGTGGCCTCTCGCTGGTGACAGCCAAACGCCCCGGGGACCTCATATGTACAGCCTAGCCCTCTCCATCTCCCAGCCACAGCCTTTACCTTGTAATTTTACTAAAAATCCTAGCGCGTTTGGGGGCTGGTTTGGGCACACTTGTTACAGATGAAGCCTGAAGGGCCGGTCCCTGGGTTAATGTCACCAGCTAGCTGACGGCCCCTGCTGAGTCCTCACTTGCTTCTCCAGAGACTGTGCCAGCTCCACCGCGGACCCCAACATCCTGCCAGCTCTTCCCTCCGTGACCTTTGGCCTTTCTCTTAGTTTCCTCTGGGGGGGGGAGGTTGGACGGGACTACCTGTGGCTGCCTACACCAGCCAGCTTCCTTTGCATTGTGCTGGGGTGTTAGCCTGGGATCTGTTAGTAAAACCAGTGACAAAGTAGCAGAGGAAGCCTGAGGAGGATGGTGCCACTCGGGCCTGGCTCACCCGACCTGGACCAGGGATGGCCTTGTCTTGGAAGTGAGAGGCTCACCTCCGGGTCCATTGCTGATGAGGGAGGCGGCTGCTGAGTCCAGCTTTGTCGCCCGAGTCTTTAGGAAGGCGAGTCGGGAAACACTTCTGTCTGGGCCTGGAAATGAAAGCAGCTCGCTCTTTGGCTTGTTTTCACAATCTCCCTGCCTTAACCCTCCCACCCCCCACCCCCCCCACCCCCCACCCCCCACCCCCCGCCGCTGCCAACTCCATCACAGGACCCCTCACCAAGTGCGTGAGTGTATATGTGTCTGTCTGTCTGTCTGTGTCTCCCCCTCCCCTCATCTCTCTCTCTCTCTCTCTCTCTCTCTCTCTCTCTCTCTCTCTCTCTGTCTTTCGCTCACTTGCTTGCTCTTGCTTTCTCTCTCTGATACATATATTCGACTCTCTTGCACATGGTTGCCCCAGCAGCATTTGGAAAGCAAACAGAGAAAGGGGCCCTCCTTGGCTAAAAACCCAGACAGGGGCAGAAGGATAATGGCTCCAGCAGCCTGCGGGCACTCCAACCCTCCCTCCCCCAACCCTAGGACTTCTAGAGAAAGAGAAAGGGAATGTGGCCTGAGTTACAAGGCCAGCCTGAGAGATCTGAGAAGCCTAGGCAGCATAAACAGCCAAGCACCCTGGGGTGACGGTGGGCATTGACCCAGGGTGCTCAGACACTTCCCCAAAGCATCCCTGACGGGAACAACTTTGAGGACACCAAGCACAGACCTTCACCGCACAGTGGCCGGCTGCTGTCAGAAGGGAGATTCACAGGTAAGCAAATGGGAAGAAGATCTGTCCCTGACCTTAGGATCCCTATCCCTTCCTGCTTATTTTTCACCTACTTCTGAGCATGTCTTATAGATACAGCCTTATACTGAGTGTGGGACGGGACAAGCAGCAGAGACCCAGACGAAACTAACCCCCCCCCCCCCGAAATGGACACTGTTGGACAGGAGCGGACAGAATTCGGGAAGGTGTCTCCAGCGGGCTGTGTTGGCTCTGACTGTTGGAAGATGGCCTAGGCAGACAAGACACCTTGGAGGAGACAAGTGCCACACCAGAACTCAAAGGACACCACCAATTCCCAAATACCTCAGCCCAGGTCTACATCCCCAGAGCTCCCTCATCTGCCGAGGTCTGGAGCTTTTGATTGCAAGTCCTCTGGTGACCCTTAGTATGTGAAACTCAGATATTTGCCATCGAATACCAATCTTATGAACCTACCCGAGCCCCTGCCTCCAAGAGACACAAAGAATATTGTGGAAAGGAAGCCTGGGCAAAGCACAATCCTCCCATGACCTTCCCTGAGGCAGGAGGGGATAGGGGGCTCCAGAGAAGAAATGGGAAGCTACATATAAATAAGGGGCAATATAAGGGTATTAGGAAGTGAGTGTTCTGGTGGGTGCTCCACCTCAATCCCCCTCCCCCATTCTCTCCCCAAACTGCCTCATCTCAGAAAGCCCGCCAAACAGGGCTCCTCCTCAAGAGATGCTCAAGACCCCTCCCACAGGGTATTTAAACTGCTCCCCGGAAAACAGACGTGGTTTTTCAGTCTTTCTTCCCTATCTCCTCTCTTGGGGGAGGGGGGATGTGGAAAATCATCCAGGAGCTTTTTATCCATTAAATCTGAGCTCTTTCTAATTCGGTTTGATTTGGATTGCTGCGTCAGTGGAGAGGCTTATTGGGGTGCAGAAGCCTTTCAGGGTGTCCTTGGGAAGTCATGAAGGTGAAGTCCATCCTGCCCACATCCATCCCAGGGATGGTGGCAGAAGTACAGAGCATGGTTTGGAACACCCACCTCTTTCTTACCCATGTGAAGTCTGGGAAAGTGTCCCCCCACCCCCACCCCCCCGACACTCCCCCCCAGTCCTCCCGCACCTCAGCTATCCATCTGTCACATGGAGATGACCGTCTCCTTCATAGGGTAGACCACACAAGTCCCTTATATGACCTTGCTTGAAGGCTGCAGGGTTAATGACCCCCAAAGTGCCGCTCTCAAAGCTACTCAACCCATGGTAACTGTTAACCAGAATTACCATCGGTTTAACTCTCAAGTGTCAGGCTCCCCGTTAAGGAAAGCAGGTAGACAGCGCCTGTCTCTCAGGGTCAGTGCGAGCAGCAGATAAAATAAGCTTGTGGGAAATTGGCTGATGACAGAGCTAACCGATAAGTATTGATCGCTTCCCTACATAAAACTCCTTCATCTCAGATGGTAACAACTTTCCTAAACTTCGGCCTGGTTGGAATCCCCTGGTCTCTCTCACAATCAAATGCTTTTTGATGTGGAAGAGGAATTAACAATCCCCATTATGCAGCTAAAACATTAGTGTGTTAGCCGAATAACAACTTTATCTAGTCTAGCTTTGCCTTGATAACATAGCAAGCCTCTTCCCTGAGAACTGTAGCTTTCCATACAAGATGGCATCCTCTTCACCAATCCCAGGTGAGAAAGCACTTTGGTGTGACTGTGAAGAAGCCACCAGGCTACTCCTGAACGGAAGGGTATGCCACTGTGTGTGTGTGTGTGTGTGTGTGTGTGTGTGTGTGTGTGTGTGTGTGAGAGAGAGAGAGAGAGAGAGAGAGAGAGAGAGAGAGAGAGAGAGAGAGAATGAGTGTGTGTGAGAGAGAATGAGTATGTGTGTGTGTGTGTGTGTATGTGTGTGTGTGTGTGTCAGAGTGTGAGTGTGTGAAAGAGTATGTGTATGTGTGAAAATTTTGCCTTGTGGAAGGAAGTGTGGCTATGGCTGGCTTTGTATTTCTGTAACAGAAGGAGTTCTCAGAAAGAGACTGCTCACAGCTGACAGTCTTCACGGTAACTTGGAGCAGTAATGGTTACTGCGGACAGGCTGTTGCAGCAGAATTGCTTCCTGAATCACCAGCGTCACATCCTTGGCCAGTGACTTTAACTTCATTTTAATGGCAAAGAAAATTAACTTCTGGAATGCAATGAATGCCATCTCTTTCCTCCCAAATGATTTAAAAAAAAAAAAAAAAACCCTCAGAAAGAACTGGTTAGATGGTCTCATGCATCACCACCACCCAGCTGAGAATAATCTTTTTTTTTTTTTTTTGGTTTTTCAAGACAGGGTTTCTCTGTGTAGCTTTGCGCCTTTCCTGGAACTCACTTGGTAGCCCAGGCTAGCCTCGAACTCACAGAGATCCGCCTGGCTCTGCCTCCCGAGTGCTGGGATTAAAGGCGTGCGCCACCACCGCCCGGCGAGAATAATCTTTTTAAACATGTGGAGAAATGGGAATTAGGAGCTGACTTGGTGATGGGGTTGCAGGTAAGAATTCCCTTATGATGTCTAGGTTGCAGGAGGCTTCAGCATCTCTAGGTGGCGCTCAAGCCGACTATGTGACTTTATTTATTTATTTGTTTGTTTGTTTGTTATTTTTAAACTCACTGTGTACCCACAGTTTGTCTCTGCATTTGGAGCAGGAGCTCCCTGTAGATCCTATACCTCTGACTTCACTTCACTTCTCAGAGCGTTATGCCTCTGGGAGCAGCTCATAAGTATTTTCTGACTGATGACTCAAAGATTTTTTTTTTAATTGCTACTGAGTTATCAGATGCTTAAAGCAGGGATCTAATATTTGCTCGTGGTTCTCTAAGGATTTGTGGGTTGGATGTCAGGAAATGAAAGCCTTTCCTAATTCTATGCCCAAACAACTAACTTCCCGCATCTCCTCCTTTCCCGTGGCTCCGTAGCAGACACCCGCTGCTTGGGAAGGACCAGCTGGGCTGTTAGGTGGAGAGGGTCAGGGAGGAAGCCTGTTTGGCTCTGTACTATAGCCAGTCTCCCAGCCCTGCACACACCCAGCAGGAAAGCCGGTAGACACCCCAACGTGTGCCTTGTTCAGCATGCATGGTTGTTAAGAGGTTCAGGACTCAGGAGAGGGCTGTAACTGGGCTCAATCCCCCATACTGAGTGCTGGACCAGGCACATGGCAGGCGCTCCTCATCATTGCTTTGATGACTACAGAAATGAGTGAAGCCATGATCATTAGCAGACAGAGAGGACCCTGAAGAAATGGAACCAGGCTAAAAATGGTGGTGGCACATATGTTTAATCTGAGGCCAGCCTGGTCTACAGAGGGAGTTCCAGCCAGGGCTACACAGAGAAACGCTGAAGAGAGAGAGAGAGAGAGAGAGAGAGAGAGAGAGAGAGAGAGAGAGAGAAGGGGGAGGGGAGGGGGGGGGAGGGGGGAGGGGAGGGGAGGGGAGGGGAGAGGAGAGGAGAAATGGAGAAATGAAGAAATGGCAGACAAATCCAGTGAGCGGGGGGGGGTGAAGTTTTGCAATCGAATACTCAAGCCATAAGGTCAGATTGAGGACTGAGGTAGACCTGTTGTGGGCGGAGTGTGAGGACAGCATGTGTCAGGTAGATGGTAATAGAGGAAGAGGAGGAAGTATGGTCACAGCAAAGCTGGAGGGCTCAGGGGAACATCCTTCCTGTTGGGAGCAGATAAACGAAGACCTCCAAGAGACTATGAGATAGACTTTGATGGACAGGCGTCCAGAGATGCGGGCTGGACTTCTGAACCCTTACGCTTTCTCCCTGCCTTGGGAGGGAAACAGGACACAAGACCAATCCCTCCCAAGCAGGAAGTGGCCCAGAATGGAGACTCCTTCAGTTTGCCAAGTTCAAGCTGATGGGAAGTGGTCTGTGTGCAGAGGCTCCTGAGCCTGCCTGCCCCTTACCTACCTTCATCCACGGGGCTGGGAGGGTTCAGCTTGCAGTACATGTGGCCCGAGATGACATTCCAAACTATTATCTCTCCATCATAACTGGAGGTCGCCAGAAGAAAAGGCGGGCACTGAGCCACGCAGAGGATGTCCTCTTTGTGCCCATGGTTCTAAGAAAGAAAGACAGAGCTGAGAAATCAGATCCCCAGTCACATATGGCAACTTTAGGAGTAATTTGATCCCTAAAATCAGAGGCACAGGAGTTCTCTGGGACCTCTACCTCATCGTGTGAGACTCTCTTGTAGCATGAATCTTAAAAGGTCTTATTAATAAAAACAAGCCTGTAGCTGGGTATTGGGGTGAATGCTGAAAGATCAGAGAAGCAGAACAAGCCACAGCTACCTCACCTTGCCAATTCCTCAGCTGATCCTGTTTCCTCAGACTGGAAACTTCTGAGTCCTCATCCAAATGGATCTCAGCTGAACTGCTGCTCAAAAGCCTAAAAGCTTAACCAGCTCTAGTTCCTGGTCCTCACGCCGTATACACCTTTCTGCTTCCTGCCATCACTTCCTGGGATTAAAGGCATGTGTCACCATGCCTGGCTGTTTCCAGTGTGAACTCACAGAGATCCAGATGGATCTCTGCCTTCGGAATGTTAGGATTAAAGTTGTGTGTGCCATCATTTTCTGGCCTCTGTGTCTATCTAGTGGCTGTTCTGTTCTCTGACTCCAGGTAAGTTTATTAGGGTGCACAATATTTTGGGGAACACAATAGCACCACACTCTCTCTGTATGCCAGTCACTGTGTTTCCCTGTTTGGCCCTCACCTCTAGGGCCCCAACTTTCTTATATTTTTGGTTGTGAGCCTAGCCTTTAACGGCTGAGCCATCTCTCCAGCCCGGGCCCCAACTTTCTAAGGGAAGCAGTATGTCCTTACTTCATCCTCTACCAGCAGGTTGACAAGGTATCCTCAGTGGGCCAAGAGAACCAAGCCGCAGGCTAGGGAGGTCTGCTTTCCCACCAGCCAGAAACTCACACGCCAGAGTAGAGTGGCCCCCAGGGCTCCCACCTGCGCTCCGCTGAGGTGTAACTGTCAACGGGAATTGAAGCTGTGTGCTTCTCTCGAAAGAAGGCGGTTGGCACAGGTGCCTCTGCCGAAGGTGAGAACCCCAAACTGGTGTGTGGAGACCAGTGCCGCAGAGCTCAAGGGCCCCTGGCCACGAGCGGTTCGCATTCTCACTGTGAGCTCTTACTGTGTGATGGCAATTGGTGTCACTCAGCTGTATTAAAATATCCTTCTACCCTTGTCCTCACGAACTTGCCACAGGGTGTCCCTTGAGGACTTGGCTTGATTGCCGAGGAGGCTCTGTCTGCTTGAACATGGATTATAATGTGAGGGTCTTGGGAAAGAGAAGCCTGATGGCTCTCCCATGATCCTCTACTGCCAGATTCCCACCCCAACCCCACTATTCCACAATGTGTGTTGAGCACTTGGGTCTGGGCTTTTCTCTGTCCTATCTTAACTGTAGAACAAAGTTTTCTCTTCTATTCTTAGGCTGAGTGTTTGTGTCAAAACCCTAACCCGAGGTGACGGTATTTAGAGAGGTTATTGGCATCAAATGAGCTCATGAGGATGTGGTCCCCGTGTTGGGATGAGTGTCCACATAAGAAGTGGAAGGGGCACACAGCTCTCTCTGTTGGGTGAGGGCATAGCGAAGAGGTGCCGACAGCTGTCTATCCATAAGCCAGAAAGGGAGCCCTCACCAGAACCTGACCATGCTGGCGCCCCGCCCGACCTCAGGACCGGACCCAGGGAAATCGCTTTCTGCTCTTTAATCTTTGTATTGTGCACACTCTGTTCAGGCAGCTCATTGGCACAGTCCGATGCTCCACAGTCCTTCCCGACAACACGCTTCTATGCTTCCACGCCATGCTCAAGCGTCTCCTCTTGGTCCTCATGAAGATGATCTTTCCGTTCTGAAAAAACCCTCATAATATTCCAGCCTCCCAGATACAGCTACAGCAAAGCCAGGGGCTCTCGAATCGTGCTCATTTATTACGTATCATCGTTTCATTTCTGAGGTCCCATGCTTCCTAGCTCCTCCGTGGCTCGCCTGTCTGGGAGCGACTCAAGAATCCTATTTGTCTTTTCTCTGCCTACTAAGTGCATGAGTAGGCCAGTGCTCGATAAATGTGTGTGTGCATGATGGAGGGCTAAATGCATACGCACTTCACTGAGCCAGGTGTGATATCCAAAGGCCGTGGCTCCCCCGGGACCCTTGCATGTCACTTTATGACTTCCTTTGATGCTCACTGAACTGCAGGCTCTGAAGACAAGGCTGTGACAGGGCTTGTTCACCATTGCGACTCCCACAAACAACACGGGTCCCCAAGAGGCACTCAGTGGATGCTGAGTGAATGAAAACATGGTCACCGGGCAGTTATTATAAACTGGACACTGGATAAGGTCTGAACAGATGAGGACTGGCTTAGTTACGTGGATGTGCTGGTTAGTTTTATGTCAGTTTGACACAAGCTAGAGCCACGAGAGGAGGAAGCTTCAGCTGAAAAAATAAATGCCTCTACAAGTTCGGGCTGTTGACAAGCTTGTGGGACATTTTCTTCATTAGTGATATATGGAGGAGGGCCCCGCCCATTGTGGGTGGTGCCATCCCTGGGCTGATGGTCCTGGTTCTATAAGAAAGCAGGCTGAGCAAGCCATGGGGAGCAAACCAGTAAGCAGCCCCCTTCCATGGCCTCTGCATCAGCTCCTGCCTCCAGGTTCCTGCCCTGTGTGAGTTCCTGTCCTGACTTTGTTCAGTGATAAACAGTGATGTGGAAGCATAAGACAAATAAACCCTTTCCCCCACCCCTCCAAGTTTCTTTGGTCATAGTATTTCATCACAGCAGTAGTAACCCTAACTGAGACAATGGAGTCTGTATTCTAGTGATATATGCCCTCTGGAATATTTGTAGGTCACATAAGGTAGGTGGGGCAGTGGCAGACAGTTGGGCAGGGTGGCCTTGTTTTCTGTATGTCTGTCTTATTGCTTTGGCACCCAGACAGTTTTGAAGGAAGTCATTCATCCCTGGGAAGCTGGAGAGAGCTGGGAACATTCTGATCCCTAGCAAGCATTGCAAGCTGTTCCCAGCTCTGGGCCTCTAACCAGCCAGAGAGTCAGGAATGCCATGACACCATGAGTACCGTTTGGCTTACCAAGAAGCAGCAGGAAATGAACGCCCACACCTCCCCACCTGAGCTTCCCGCACATGGGGACTCCCAGCCTCTTGGGGAGCAGCTTGGAACCTTGTCTTCTGGCCTTGCCCCACAACTTGAAAACTGGGGCCATCACCTTTCCCAGAGCGGAAGCCGTGCACCTTCGTGCACCTTGTCCTACACGGGCGGGAATCTTGCCGTACATAGCAGAGGCTTCTGGGAAACTGAGCATTTGTGGCAGGCTCAGAAAATGCAGGCTAGCCCCTTGAGTGAAGGAGATCTTCACGGTGTGCTACTGTGTGCCCTGAGGACCAGGTAGTGGACTGGGGCTCACCAGGTCATCCTGCCAGCGGGGTTGAGGCTTCCAGAAATGATGAAAATCACCAGGTATGTCCTGTATCCAAAGCCAAACAGGACACATTGTGTGAGCCCTACAATGAGCTGCCAACATACTCACAACTTCAGAGAGAAGGTGTTGGCACATTTTATAACCCTACCCCTCACCCTGCCACAGATGCAAATTTTTGAAATGTCAAAGCAAATTCCCCAAGTGCCAGTGGGAAGAAAAAGCAATCCACTCCTGACGTCTGGGTGATTGCATTTCAGCAAATCATATGTCAACTGACGAGCTCTTCTTGGATCCACTGCATAGCTTTGCCTTCATAATAAGACCCAGAGCCGTTTCATGGGCTAAACCCAAAGCCATCAGCCTCGAAAGCTGTAATACCAAAGGACAAATTCAGTGCTGAAACTTCCCAGGTATTCATTTCTCAAATCACTCTCAGGATGCAAGACTTAGGCTGTGAAATATAGTGAACTTTCAAATAAATAAGGAGACCGGACAGAGTTTAAATGCATTCGGAAATCCAGGACCGCCTAGCATAGCAAGCAGGCTAATAAAATGTCACAGGTAGATTTAAAACTTAGTTTTGGGCAGTACTTTAAACTTCGGTCTCTTAAGCCTCTCCATAAAAAGGGATTTTGTGTTTGTAGAGATGCCTATGGGGGAACTTTCATTTCCTCTTCTTGGTTGGAGAGGCTCTAGGATGCATTAAAAACAGGCCCGGAGGAAGGAAGAAGTAAAAACCAGCCTTCCCCTAAGACCCCTGTCTTTGCAAGCAGGCTGGGAAACCCCTCGGGCTGGGGAGGAGGAGCTGAGGAGGAGATGTGGGTGGGGAAGCAGGAGAAAGTGTGAGTCATCGGTGGAACTCAAGACCTATGCAGGTACCCAGGACAGCTTTCTAGCTAGCACATCCCCTCAGGGAGAACACTGGGAAGATACTGGGGGTGGGGGAGGGGGAGGGGTGGGGGAGGGGGAGGGGTGGGGGAGGGATTTAGGAGGGGTGGGGGAGGGGATCTTTCAAAAGAAATGAAGGGAGGAAAGGATAAGGAGAAATAAAGAGGGAATCCTGTGTGTGTCACAGAAGCGTGCTCAAATCGAGTCTTAAAGGAGAGGCAGGGCGCTGGAGAGATGGCTCAGAGGTTATGAGTGTTAAGAGCACTCACTGGCTGCTCTTCCAGAGGGCCTGAGGTCGGTTCTCAGCACCCAAGCCAGGCAACTCCCAACTGTTTCTAACTCCAGCTCTCGGGAGCCAGTGCCTCTGGCCTCTGTGGACACCTGCACTCACATGCATATATCCACATACGGACACACCCACACATAATTAAAAATAATAAAAACACACTAAGAAATGAGAGGGAGGGAGGAGGGTCAACCCGAGAGGAGGGCTTTTGAAATGTCTTCATTTGTTGCATTTTACTTACAAAATATACATTTATTCTTCTGTCCCATCCAACAGCTATGATACACCTAAGACAAGAGCAAAATGTTACATTTTTACACTTCAACTTCCTTTTGTTTACTTTTATATATAGAATTAACTTTGTGGTTTAACTCTGCCCTATCCACACGATCAATGAAAAGATAGGAGCTTTTTCCAATGCTTATGGAGAACAATGGGAAATGTAATTTGGTAAATCAGGGTCGGTTGCTCAGCATCAGGACCCAGAAGCAGGCCATCCTGTCATTTCTGAGTCTACAGACTCCCTGTGAGCAGCTGAGTTTCTGGGAATGACTTGATCTTTAGAGCATGTCTGACATGACCCCTGACCCCAGGCAAGGCTAGTCACAGAAATGGCCCAAGGATTGTTTCACTGTCTTAGTGTTCAGGAAGGAATTACTGTGTTTTTATCCTTTGATTTATGGTGGTTGAAGTTATTTGTTCCACTCTCTGATTTGTTACTTTGAATTTTAAAAAATTTCATTACTTCTATTATTACTTATCTTAGGACTATGGGGTGTTATGCCTGCATCTATGTATGTACACCACATGTATCTCTGGTACCCATGGAGCCCAGAACTGGGTCCTCTGCAAGAACAGTCTGTGCTCTTGACTGCTGAGCCTCTGGGCTCACACAGTGGCCATCACACAGTGAAGAGCACTGACCGTCCTTGCAGAGGACCCAGTTTTGGTTCCCAGCACCCCTATCAGGTGGGTCCCAACTGTCTACAACTCCAGTTCCAGGGCATCTATCTTATGCCCTCTGACTTCCACGGACACCTGCACACACGAGGTACATATAAACTCATGCAGGCATGCATACTTCTGCATAATAAATAAGTCTTTAAAAAGAAAAAAGAGGTGGGTCTTCGGTGGAGGAAGTGGGCCGCTGGGGTTTGCCTTGTGTCTGTCTCCCTTCTCTTCCGAGTTGTCTTGATGTGAGCATCTCTCCTCTCTCGTTGCCTGTCTTCCGTGATGTTTCCCCCTTGCCACAGACCTCAGCCGATGATGGACTGAGACTCCAGAAACTATGGGACAAAACCCCCTCCTCTTATCACAGGTATTTTTTTCACAGTGATGAAAAGCTAACTAATACAACTAATATTTTCTTCCCAACTAGGATAGGGAAAAAAAAATTTCCAATTAAATATAACTCAATGTTATATATGAAACTCACCTGTTTTGATTCACCTCCATGTAGGTACAATCACAGACCTCACTTCGGTTTTCATCTAGAAATACATTATCATCTCGTGTCAAACATTTTTCTGGATTAACTCTTGCTTGATTCAGCTCTCGTACACTGTCCTCCTCTGCCCGATGATCAGAAGAGACTCTTTGTCATCTACTTTCTGGTTTTCAGCACAGGGTCAAGTGTCTCCTGGTCATTAGAGCGCCATTCACTTGTGGCCACCCTCCCTGTCTGATTCGGCCCCTGATCGCCTACAGAACAGGTTCTCCTGATCCGACCCAATTGCATCCGCCACTAGGTGAGTGAGTAGGCAGATGGTCATGTGGAGGTCAAAGCAGATTCAGGAATGAGGCTTGTGAATTCAGCTTCATGTGTCTTTCACCTTGACTTCATTTATTCCTCTCTAATACTTGAAGAACGTGCATCTTATTTGCTCTGTTAGCATTTTACAGGCCAGAATCAGAGATTTTTTTTTTTTTTAAAACCAAGGATAACATATGAATGAATGAGTAGCCTTGGGGTGGTTTAGGAGATATATAAGAGACTGGCGTTTGGTTTCTGTGATTGTGTCCCCATGAAATGCAAGCTCAGAAACAGTAAAGAACGTGGAATAGAGAGAAGGGGATGTGGAGATGTCCCCCACGTCGTAGGCTCTGTCTCCCTGGGTCAACGCCCAGTCATGCATCAGTGTGTTATAGGGAGCATTGCTGGAGTAGCCCAGCCTCACTTGCCGTGCCGAAGCGTGTGGAGACAGTGTCCGCTGTTGTAGCTCCACATCTTCAGACAGCCGTCTCTGCCCCCAGTCACGAGCCTAGGAAACAGATTGTCCCGCTAGGGTGACATGACCCAGGTCACCCTGCTGAAAGGTTCATGACACTAGAGGAAGGGTGTACCTTCTTCCGCTGGAGTCAAAGGTCAGACAGGTGACACCGGCATTGCCATGAGTCCCAATAAATTCAGACACCTGTCTTCCTGTCTCAAAGTCCCACACTTTCACTACCTGTATACAAAGTTGAAAGAAAGATGACTTAGAGATAATGGCTATCAAATCAAAGGAAATTTGCATTTAGAGGTCTGGGGACATAAATATTAAAGAGGAGCTGGAGAGATGGCTCAGAGGGTGAGGGATTCAGCTCCCAGCACCCACATGGTAGCTCACGACCATCTCTAACTCCAGTTCCAGGGGATCCAGCGCCCTCTTCTGGCCTCTGCAGACAGTACACACATGGTACACAGACACACATGCAGGCAAAACACCCAAACAAAACAAATAAAAATAAATAAATGTTTACCTAGAACGTGTCTGTACTTCCACACAAGTTGGCTTACTTGAGTGTATTCATTTGCTAGCACAGCCATAGTAAACTGCCATGACTATATCACTTCAACAATGGCAATGCTTGGTTTCACAGTCTGGAGAGTCAATGTCCAGAGTCAAGGTGTTGGTGGGTGTTATAGAGTTAACTGTCAACTTGACACAATCTGGACTCACCAGGGAAGGGAGTCTCAGTGAGGGACTGTCTAGATTAGGCTGGCCCTTAAGCTTGGGTTAACTGAGGTAGGAATGCCTGTCCTGAATGTGAGAGGCACAGTTTTTTGCATTGGTCCTGAACTGAGTGAAGAGCTAGACTCATGCTTCTGAACTGTGGATGTGATGTAACCTAGGCTCACACTTCTGGACTGTGGATATAATGTGACCTAGGCTCACACTTCTGGACTGTGGGGTGATGTGACCTAGGCTCACACTTCTGGATTGTGGGTGTGATATGACCTAGGCTCACACTTCTGGACTGTGGATGTGATATGACCTAGGCTCACACTTCTGGACTGTGGATGTGATGTGACCTAGGCTCACACTTCTGGACTGTGGATGTGATGTGACCTAGGCTCATACTTCTGGACTGTGAATGCAGTGTGACCTAAGCTCATACTTCTGGATTGTGGATGCAGTGTGATCTGAGTTCACACTTCTGGACTGTGGATGTGATGTGACCTAGGCTCACACTTCTGGACAGTGGATGTGATGTGACCTAAGCTCACACTTCTGGACAGTGGTTGTGATGTGACCTAGGCTCACACTTCTGGGCAGTGGATGTGATGTGACCTAAGCTCACACTTCTGGACTGTGAATACAGTGTGAACTAAGCTTACACTTCTGGATTGTGGATGCAGTGTGATCTGAGTTCACACTTCCGGACTGTGGATGCAGTGTGATCTGAGTTCACACTTCCGGACTGTGGATGCAGTGTGACCGGCTGTCTGCAGCTTCTGCTGCAATGACTTCCTGGCAGCAACGGGCTGTAACTTGAAATGTTAACTTAAAATAAACCCCCTGTCCCTGAAGTTGCATTTGTCAGGGTATTTTATTTAAGCCGCTGGAAAAGAAACTGTGACTGTGGGATTCATTTCCTGGACCTTCTAAACTTCCAGTCTTAAGACCTTCAGCACAATTGTTCTTGCAATTAGTCTCTCTCAGGCCCGTCCCTTGAGCAGGCTTTGAATGAGAGCCCTCCTCCCGGGAGTCCAATGTCCTCTCTCCTGATGGCTGAAGTCAGTCCCCACCACAGGGGGGGTTCATTTGAGGTAGGCTTAGAGCCAGCTCTCCAAGTCCTCTGAGCAGACAGTGGATTAGAGTTTCAACCAATTCTTGAGAAGTATTTGCTTTACAACATACAAGATAATCACAAGGATATAGTACTCTCAGGACGGATGTTCCTTCCTAATAACTCACGCTGGGAGCCACTGGGGAGACAGCAGGCTCTTCCACTTGATTCTAAGCAAAGACTGTCCAAACAATACCGGATCATTAACAGAGCAGAACTGAATGTTCATCCCTCTGTTGACTTCTAGGAACAGAATGTCAGCAGAACACACAGCTCAGCTTTAATGGGAAGATGGAGGGGCCAGGCTACCTCACAAACATGTCGTTGCTAAGATATCAGGAATGGGTACTTACGGATGCTTCGCAGCAGCTGACCACATGCCTGAAGGCTGGGTTGTACCTGCAGCAGACCACAGGCTCTTGGTGGGAACGTACTAGGTGGGGTTCTGGGTCAGATCTTGTTCATGAAAAACAGAGACAATGAACAGCTGAGGTGATGACAGGCCAGGGATACCTGGAGGGGACTTATCTGTTGCTTCATTACACAGTGGCCAGCAGGAGAGGCTCGGGGCTCAAATGATGGATCTAGAAACCTGGGGAAACTGCCTAACTGCTCAAAATTCCACTCTCTAACCTGCAATATAGGGGTAGTAACACCTGCTCTAAAGCACGTTGCAGGGTGTGCTGGCTGATTTTTTATGTCAAGGAGACACAGGCTAGAGTCATCTGAGAGGAGGGAGCCTCCACTGAGAAGTTTCCCCCATAAGATCTGGCTGTCGGCAAGCCTGTTGGGCATTTTCTTAATTAGTGATTGATGGCGGAGGGTCCAGCCCATTGTGGGTGGTGCCGTCTCTGGGCAAGTGGTCCTGGGTTCTACAAGAAAGCAGGTTGAGCAAGTTGTGAGGCGCAAGCCAGTAAGCAGCACCCCTCCATGGCCTCTGCATCAGCTCCTGCCTGCACGTTCCTACCCTGCTTGAGTTCTGGTCCTGACTTTTTTCAATGATGAGCAACGATGTGGAAGCATAAGACAAATAAACCCTTTGCTCCCCAGACTGCTTTGGTCATGGTATTTCATCACAGCAACAATGACCCTGACTAGGACACAGGGACTAAATAGGAAGAGATACGGGCATCTTCTTAGAACAGCACACGTATGATAAGGCGCACTCAGAACACATGTGATTGACACATGATGAGTTATAATGACTGCGAAAGAAGAAAACGGAGAACATGCACTTCCGACTGATTGATTGATTGATTGATTGATTGATTGATCGAGACTGGTTCTCCTGTAGCGCAGGCTGTCCTCAAACTCAAGATCCCTCTGATTCTGTCTATTGAGCCATAACAGGATCATAGGTGTGTGCCACCACAAGGGGCTATGCAGGAGGAGTGGGATTTGATGACTTTCAGAATCATCTAGAGTGCTGAGAATTTAGATTTTCTCCCAAACAAAAAACAAATTAGCACACTATGAATCCTTGTGCCCGGAAAGTGACACTTCTCAACTGCCACAGGGACGAGGCCAAGCAGGTCCGGCACGCCCAGTGCCACTGTGACTCCATGGGTACCCAGGTGTGAAGGGCACAGCAGAGCAAACAGAGCCTGGTTCCATCCGCTGCCTCTGGGAGGCCAGCACTCCCCAGCAGCTCAAGCCCCGTGGCCGGATGTCCTCGTCTGCAAAACACAATCTCTTGTGGAAGTGTGAGGAATAATTATGAGGAAATGGAGATACATGTTGGCATGCAGTGGCTGTAACACCGAACGCTAATCCCATGTGCAGTCTCCCAGCCACGTCCCTCTTCATGGCTCTTCCCTAGCGTTGCTGCAGGAGAAAGGCAGAGCCTCCCACTGATCTGAAACCTCAGGTGTGATGTTCAGACTCCTCTCCAAGAGACAGCAGCCTGTCCTGGGGCTTTAGGATGTGTGTGTGTGTGAGGGGGGAGGTGGGGGAGACTGGCCCAGGCAGAAGGAGCCAGGAAGTCTACAGAAACTCTGGGTCTGGTGGCTGGTCTGACCCCTTTCGCAGGTGCGGGGGCGGGGGGGGGGGGGGGGGGCGGAACTTATGCAAATGAGGATTAGGTAACTCTGGGTTGCACAGCTCCTGAGTGACAAAAGGGATGGGGTGGGCTGGGAAAGGGGACACCACCTGGCAGCTCAGTGTTAGCACCGGAGACTGAGATTGTGTTGGCCGTGAAGCACAATCCCCACCATTGCATTGCATTCCAAAAGAAATCAGTCAAGTGGGCTGTTTGTTCTCCACGATTCTGCCACGCAGAACGAACAGCAGTTTGATTGGCAGAGGCTTCCTCTTTGAGCAGGCTGTTTTGGCTGTGCCAATCATTTAGCAGGGGCTCTATTTGAGTTTTCTGAGCCATTCTCCCAGGCCGCACGGCTTCACCGAGGTTAGAAAGGGAGCGGATGGCCAAGACCAAGATGGCCGCATGAGATGCCTTAAAATGTGCTTGCTTTTCCATGAAGTTAACTTAAAAACTATTTGTAATTATGTGTACGTGTGTATCTGTGTGTGGACTTATGCACATGAGTACAGATGCCTGTCGGGGCCAGAGGTGTCAAGTCCTCTAGGACTAGAGTGACAAGCAGTTGTGAACCACCGGATGTGGGTACTAGAAACTGAGCTTGAGTCCTTTGCATCAAAGCAATGCATCTTCTTGGCCACTGGGCCGTCTCCAACCCCTTGAAATTTACTCTTTTGTTGTTGTTGTTTTTGTTTGTTTGTTTTGTTTTTGTTTGAGACAGGGTTTCTCTGTGTAGTTTTGGTGCCTGTCCTGGATCTCACATTATAGACCAGGCTGGCCACGAGCTCACAGAGATCTGCCTGGCTCTGCCTCCCGAGTGCTGGGACTAAAGGCGTGTGCCACCACTGCCTGGCCTTTGAAATTAGCTCTTAACATGCAGTTTGATCTTTGAGTACAACAAATGGATTAAGAGCCCCAACTCCCAACTCCCCCAACTCCCATGCCTATGTTCACAAATCAAGAGGAAACATGGGGAGGGTAAAGGTCTTGATTTGGGGCACAGGAAGCCAGTCACCATTGTGAGACAGTTTCTGAAACACACAGGCTATGGCAGTCACTGTACGGATTTTCTGCATCCTTGTCTGGTGCTTTGGATTCTCAGAACTGCTGAACGCTGGTCAAAACAAAACAGAACTGTGGTGGGGAGGAGGGATGCATGTTGTGAAGCCAGGAGGAGTAACAGGGGATTAAGTGGGCCATGTGGGGCTGGAGAGATGGCTGGGAGGTTCAAAGCACTGGCTGTCCTTCCAGAGGACCTGGGTTTGATTCCCAGTATCCACATAAAAAATAACAAATAGACGAAGAGCGGGCCACACTTACACTAGGCTGGCTGTCATGAGGTCCATGCTTTTGGGTTACCGAGAGCCTTGCAGCTCTCAAAGCATATGCCAAGCACCCCACTACTCATGGTGGCACCCCACCACTCTTGCTGGCAGGGCAGGGGGCAACTCTTTTCCCACAGAAGGGCATGGCCTGTGGGCCTCTTAGGGCATGGAGGATGCTTCCTTGCAGGCTGTGGGAATGGGTATCAGGAAGTACATTTCCTTTTGTCTGAGGCTTTGTTTTAAATCAATTAACTATTAATTAATTAAGTGTGTATGAGTGTTTGTATGTATACCACACAGGTGCCTCATGTCTGCAGAAGTCAGAAGAGGATCCTCTGGAACTGGAGTTACAGATGGTTGTGAGTCACCATGTGGGTGCTGGAAACTTAACCCCGGTCCTCTGCAAGAGCAGCCAGTGCTCCTAACTCTTGAACCATCTCTCCAGGCCCTTGTCCTTTTTGTTTGTTTGATTTTTTTTTTATACAACATATTTTGGTTCCCCCTGCCCCAGCGCACCCCCCCAGCTCTTCCCCACGATCTCCCACCTCCTCCTCCCCATCTCCTCTCCACCTCTTCCCGCCTCCTCCCAGCTCCTCCCTCCCTCCCCACCCACCCAAATCCACCTCCTTTCCAGCTCTCTCATTAGAAAACAGACAGGCACCTAAAAGAATAGGCAAACAAATCTGAATGGGACAAAACTCAAAACAAACTTGAGCAGGACAAAGCAAGCAAAAACAAACAAACAGACAGAAGAGCAGAAAAACAGAGAGCCAAAGACAAAGCACAAGAAACACAGGCAGACGTAGAGACACACAGAGATCCCCTAAAGACACAAAACATTCCGTGAGATGGAACCCATCTCCGACACTGCTCGGTGGCCAAGAAACTGAGACTAGGGACCTGGGGGGAAATTACCACTGTCCTGCTAAAGGACCATAGCAACAGAATGTCTCCTAAATAATCCTGCACTGCTCGTAGATCGGAAGCTTGTTCCTGCAGCAGATGGGAATCAATGCAGGGGCCACAGCTGGACCGTGCGCAGAGAGTGAGAGGCCTCGGAGCACCCCTAAATGGGATGTCTCCATCAAATCCCTCCCCTCACAGCTCAAGGAACCCCGTGGAAGAGGAGGCAGAAAGAGCCAGAGAGGATGGAGGACACCCAGGAAACACGGCCTTCTAAGCACATCAGGACTGACGCACACGTGAATTCACAGAGACTGTGGCAGCATGCACAGGACCTGCATGGGTCTGGGCCTGACGGGATCCCAGTGCTGAGGGCGGAGGGCAAGCCCACATCCCTAACCCAGAAGCTCTCTCCTACTGACAACCAAATGAAAACTTAGTTTTCTCTAAGGGAGTTTCACTTGGTATATGAACCACTCTTAAGGCCGGGGGGGGGGGGGGGGGGGCACCCACGGCCAGCAGAAGATGGCCAACACAAAACACACTCATCCACGGCCAGCAGAAGATGGCCAACACAAAACACACTCACCCACGGCCAGCAGAAGATGGCCAACACAAAACACACTCATCCACGGCCAGCAGAAGATGTCCAACACAAAACACACTCACCCACGGCCAGCAGAAGATGGCCAACACAAAACACACTCAATGGCGTCTTCGGAGGGTCTTTGTCTCATAATGCTTTGTCTAGACATTTTTCTTTTCTTTCTTCTTTCCCTACAGGCCTTTTGCTTATATTTTATAGTTTCCATTTTTTTTTGTTTGTTTGTTTCTAGGGGATTTCTGTGTGAGTCAATTTGTGTGTCTCTATGTCTATATGTGTTTCCCGTGCTTTTTTCTTGTTTTATTTTTTAACGTACAGCTCCCTCTCCCCTTCGATTCATTTCAGCAGGGGGTGGGTGCCAAGAGAAGCCAGAAGACTGCCCTCTCCCAGAGGCAGGATGTCTCTTTTTTGCTCCTGGCTCCCATGCACCCTGGCAATCCCTTCCCAGCTCCTGGCTCCCTAATTATTCATCTACAAAGGTTTGGACTAGATGACCCCTGTACACCGGATGCTACTGTGAGAGCAGAAAGGCTTAGTTCGGGTAGGGCAGAGGCAGACAAGGACCTGGAGCCAACTGATGTCAGTGTGCGGTGTCCTCTCCGAGTGTGTAAGACCAGACAGGGACAACCCAGGCAGGGCAGAGGTGGAAGAGAAGGCAAAGGGCCACAGATTCTTTGTCAAGGAGGCAATGGTGCCGTAGCTGGGGGCTGGAGTAGGGTGTGAGGGTCTCAAGGAATCTAGAACACATGTGGGATTGAGGAGACTCCACTCTCAAGGCATTACAGGCCCAGGCACTGGGGAAGAGAATCCTCGGAGGTCCCCATTCCAGCTCTGTCTTGTCATTGGGCATGTGCTCCATGTACGGCTAGCTTGTTTTATGGATAGGGGTTCTAAGACATGGGGCAGGGCAGAAGCGATGGCCCTGTGGGAATGCCAGACCCCCAGATCTCTGCTCAGCTTCTGTCTTTGGATCTGGCTTCTGCTCCCATATAATGAATCTATGTACCACAGGCTTACGGCCAGTGGATGGGACAGGCCCAAGGTGAAGTCAATTCTGGACAGTGCAGGTTACTCCAGTGTTGCTAGAGGGAATGTTAAAAGGTCCTCATCAAATAAAAGCGGAAGGCCCAGGGCTGCAGTTTCAGAGAGTGGGACATGAATGGTAGAGCACTGGGTAGAACATTGACCATGCCACTGGAATTCTCTAGCACCCTCTAGAACATTCTGCACACAAAACTCAGACAGATGGTCCCGTACCCTACTTTCAGGTGAAGAAAAGCCAGGGCATCTGTGGCCACACACAGGGCTCTAGGTCCAGAGAGGTAGAGGCAGGCTGCCAGTTCACCCTTGATGCCACTGGCTTTGGAAGAGGCTGTGAAGCAGCAGCCATGGGTCTCCAGATCCCAGATCTGTGGAGGAAATGGGGGGAAGTAATAGGTTTTGTTTTTTCTTCTTCTTTTCCCTTTAGATAGACTCCCTACGTAGCCCAGGCTGGTCTCCGACTCTAAAGCCTGTGTGGGCCACACACGCAGCTAGTTACACGTTTTGTCCATTTGTTCTTCCACAGCGGTTGCCTGTTGTGGGGTCCGGCTTGACTTGACCAAGTCTAAACTCTATGTCCGCCCCTGTCAGAAGTCGAAATGCTGAAAGCAGTCCTCCTCTGTCGTTTTTGTGAAGAAGACAGCAAGGCCTGGTCCCCTCAATCATGGGAGTGTGAAAGGTGACCAGAGAGAAGGGACAATTATGATCACGAGTCACTAGGCTCTATTCTTCCCACAAGGAAATGACCAGTCGCCCCCTCCTCCCTGGACACAGCTCTCATGGGGAGCTGATTTGCGGTACCTTTTTTTTTTTTTTAATGTGCATTGGTGTTTTGCCTGCACGAAGATGTCAGGCACCCTGGACTTGGAGTTACAGGCAGCTGTGAGCTGCTATGTAGGTGCTGGGAACTGAACCCAGGTCCGCTGGAAAAGCAGCCAGTGCTCTTAACCACTGAGCCATCTCTCCAGCGCCCTGTTCTCAGTTCTTAATACAAGAATACACCACCAACCAAGTCATTGGGCAGATATTTGGAGGACACGGGGAACGGACTCCTGTGTGGCTGTTGTTGGAGGACATAACAACCCAGTGTCCATCTCCCTGTGGTTTCCACCTAACACCTGGGCAGCCTCACACAATGTCCTCCCAGCTCTTCCCCTCAGTGCTGTCCGCAAAACAGAGAGACAATACTGCCTACTTTATAGTGTTGCTTAGAGAAATTAGAAAACTGATTAAAGAGCAGAGTGCTTAGAGAAGTGGGTAAAACACAGTAACGGTACAACATGATTAGAATAACCCGGCTGTCAATCACTGTTAGGCTTGTAAGTCATGCCGTGGCTCTGGCGTTCTATGAGCAGACTGTGAGCTGGTGAGGGCTGCAGTGGCCAAGCCCCAGACTGGGGAGACCATGACCGTCACGGGCACTGGCTGCCCCGTGAGCTGACATGCACCCACTGTGTGTCAACTGCTTTGAGTCCTGGTCTCTTTCACTTTGTGTTATGGTGAACTGCTACCCTCCCTTCAAACGGCGAATAACCCCAGTACCTCAGGACGGGGAATCCATTTGGAAATGGGGTTGTTGAGATAGAAGTAGTGAGTGAAGATGAGGCCATCCTGGAGCAGGCTAGACTCCGGCACGATGGGTGAGTTTGCAGGAAGAGGAGAGTTAGGGAGAGATGCACAGCGGGAAGACAGTACATGAAGATGATGGCAGAGATCAGGGCAGTGTATCTGCAACCAAAGAATACCATGATTGCCAGAAGACTATGAGGAGGTAGGCAGGGGCCTGGGTCCAGCCCGCCTTCACAGCCCTCCAAAGGACCCAACCCACCCAACACCTTGGTCTTGGGCTCTCAGCCTCTGAACTGTAAGCCAGAACATTTCTGTTATTTATCCCACTCTGTCTCTGGTACATTGTTATGGCTACCCATGTGAGTCGGCTTTCTATCACCATTGTGAATGCCTTCAAAACTAAATTTAGAGAGAGGAAGGTCTCTTTTGACTCATAGCTCCAGAGGATACAATCCACAGTCTTGGTGGCCTTGCTGCTTTTAGGCCTGTGGCAAAGCAGCGCCTCATTGGCAGGGGCACAGGAGAGGGGGGATGGCACACAGAACTGCTCACCCTATGGCCAGGTAGCAAGAGAACAAGTAGGGGACAGGGTCTCCCCATCCCCTTCCAGACCTTGCTCCCAACAACCTGAAGAGCTCCCACTAGGCCCCTTAGAGGTTCCACTACCTCCCAATAGTTCTGTGCTGGCGACTAAACCTCTAATACTCAGGTCATTGAACCAAACTATTGTACAGCCTCTCAAACTAGTGCTCTTGATCTCTCTTTATTGATTATTTACATGGACAAGTGTTAAGTCTGTGTATGTGCATGTAACTGAAGTTAGAGGCATCCAAGCTGCCTAATGTGGGTGCTGGGAATTGAACTCAGGTCCTCTGTGTGAAGACCACATGTTCTTAACCACTGTGCCATCTCTCCAGCCCCGAACTAGTGCTCTCTTACATACTTTGGGAGGCAGAGGTTATCTGTTGACTCCAAGAGATACAGGCTAAGAAGTAGCCAAGACAGGAAACTCTAGCAAGAGTGAGCTCATGAGCCTGGGCAGAGCAATGTCTTCTCCTTGGCTCAGCTGCCAGACACCAGCCATCTGAAGTCCTTGTCTCTTAAGCTGCACTCCAACCCTTCGAATTTACACTCTGCTTACTTTCCATTCGTTCTCTGAGCTGTGAGCAAACTGGCCATCCCTGGATCCAGCCCATCCCTGATCCAGCCTGTCCCTGGATGCCTGTGCCTGCCGCTGTGCCTCCTGTGAAGCCAGCGTGGGGCCCCAGTATTGACTCCCTGTGGAAAGGGCAGCCCCAAGAGTGGCTTGCTTGAGGGACAGCCCCTCCCCTCTCTCTGCTGTCAATCCGTTGGAGCACACTCATTTGGCTGGGTGGAAGGTTGACGCGCAGCAGTCATTATCAGCTCCCCTGCTGTGGGAAGACTTTACTCCCGGATTTCTTCTTGCTCCCTGCAATGAGGTGCCATGATTTGAACATGCTTCCGAAAGTCTCTATTGCAAGCTCAGCCCCTAAGTTTATATGTTAGTGATATCTAAAGGTAGGCAATTGGGGTTTGGTGAGGTCACGAGGATAGGGCTCCCATGATGGAGTTAGTGGCTCCATAAGGAGAGAAAGAGAGAGGTAGGGGTAGCTTGGTGGTGCCTGCCTGGAATGTGTGAGACCATGGGCTCCCTGCCGGGCACCTAAAATGTATTGAAAATCCAAGAAGAGAGACCTAAGCTAGCACATTTGCCTTGCCTGACCATGCGATGCCTCTCGCTATACTGACCCAGCAAGAAGACCCCAATTAGATGCCAGTGTCATGCTCTTGGATTTCCTAGCCTTAGAACTGTGAACCAAATGAACCGGGGCTCCTTTGTAAATTGATTCGTCTCAGGTATTTTGTTACAGCACCAGGAAATGGACTAATAAGACATAAGGTTCCCGAGAGGAACACAGGAAATTCTGGAATCTGGGAAGTCATCTCAGGTAGGATGAGTTGGTGCCTGAGACCCATGAAGGAAAGGAGGGGAGACACTTGTTACACAGATGTTCAGACTGAGTCATCAAATTGGCATCGAATCCCTGTCACACACACAGGCGACATGAAGGAGAACAGCTTTCTACAGTAGGGTCTCAGGCGGAGGTCAACATCTATTGAGAAGCAGAAGTGAGAGGCTTGGGCAGAGGCCCATTTTTGAAGCCAGATGCTCACCAGTTCACCCAGTGACTTCCTTTCTGTGGCCAAGAAGCCCTCCATGGCACTCACCCTACTGGATTTCACCCATGTCTCTTGGGCTGAAATCAGCCTCACTTAGTAAAAATCACCATGCAATTAGCCCAGTAGATCCACTGCCTCTAACAAGGTCACTTACTCTGCAAGGTGGGTCTTTCTCCCATCTTGGGAAGGAATAAAACACTACAGAACTAAGTCGATTTAGAAGGATTGGGTGATCACCAAAGTCATCTGGCTTGTGTGGTTTCTGGGTTTAAACTCAGGATTGTGTGTCTCCAAAGCTTTCTGTCACCCTCTCCTGAATCCACATCTTCTCATCCATTTGCAGAATTGTTGCTGGGAAGAGGGCCACCAATTAAGGTATGTGCCACTTCCCATTCACCTATCATGGCCGTGAACTTGGCACGGACTGTAAGAAGAGGTGGCCAGAGTTGGAAGGGGCAGCAATGTCCTCTTTACCTGCCTCTTGGCCTTGGATGAAGAGGGTGGGGCCTCTGGCTGGAGAGACACCAGCCCTTGGATGGGAGCACTCACTCACAGAGGTGCTGGGTTAACATGGACAGAAATAAAACTACTGTCTTAACCTAGAGAAAACCCGGCATGTGCTTAAGAGAGGTTCCCATGTTATGCTAGCTAACACGCCACACTGCCTTCCTTAGAAAAAATAACTTTCCCCAAATTCTAATGCCGGTTGATAAAAGACAGCCCTGTTTGTGGCTTGTGGCGTCACATTTATAGACTACCAAGTGAAAAAGGCAATCCAAATCTGTCACCGTATTCCCCGTTAGAGAATGCCAGAAGCCAGCAGCCTCCTGAAATGTTTGTATGTCCCCATGATTTGGAGGAGTAAAATATTTGGGCTGAAAAATAATTCAAAGACTGAAGACTCTCTGCTCAGGCACGCTAGGCATCGAGCGGTTTGTCTCCTAGTTGATTAGCTGTTATTCGATAGGAATAGTGCCGTCTGAAATAACTTACACACCATATTTCCAAGATGGGATTTCAATATATTTTAAACACACATTGGGAAGCTATTCAATATGCCTGACTCATCGCGGGCAAGATGCTAATCTTGTAATCACGAGTTGAGATTGGAAGAAAATGGAGAGGCTATGGGAGAAGAAAATAGGATGGAAGACATGTCCCCACATACAAAATTATGATTATCCGAGAGGCGCAAGATTCAAGGGGGGGGAAGCTCATTAAAAACTTGGAGTCCTCCACACGGTGACTTTGGATAAAGCCTTTAGATGAATTCGATTTTCAAAATAAATCAAACAGTGGAGTTCATAAATCTCATCATTTTATTCAAGTTTGCTCAGAGGATGGAATGGCTTGCGGTTGGGCCCCAGCTACAGCGCTGGCTGCACTCTGCACACCTGGTTGTATAGAACTGCTTTCAACCTCACCGCAGGGTGGACCACGCTCACTGCCTGGGAGCCATGTTGGACCCACACGGAGAAGTCTTAGCACATCACAGGCGCGGCACACAGTCTTTGGCGGACTTTTTCCCTCCCCTGCTCACTCTTACTCTTTCTGTCATCTTTCCCAGCCCGGAGTTGAAGATTCTATCTCAACGCTAATCATGCCTGATTTTGTACCACCAGCCCCACCACACCCGTTAAGCTCAGGTTGGCCCTGCCCAACGCATCCAAAGCCTCGCTCCTGGTCTTAACGTTCCTCATTTGCCATGTTCCCTGCCTCAGATTTCAGCTTAGATTCCAAATCTTGGTGGCCCTCTTGAGTCTTCTCTGGCCTCACTCCCTTAAATACTTTTTTATTGAAATATAACTCACATATCACAAAACTCACATTTCTAATGTTCAGTTGGTGTGGGGGCGGGGCTTCAGCATGGCCACAGAGCTACATAGCCGTGACCACGACCTAACACCGGGGCATCCCATCAGCCCGTTCAGGAGCTGCATCCCCATTGTCAGCCCATCCATACTCTGTCCACACTTCAGTCCCTGGTTTCTTCTGGATGCTTCATACAAACGGAGGAAGCAAGACAATACGTGGCTTTCTGTGACTTTTATCCAACACCAGGCCGCTAAGGTTCACCCATGTTATAATGTAGACGGGGGATTCATTCTTTTGCTCACACACACTGCTTTTATTTTATTTTTACCACTTACTAGTTGCTGGGCACTTGAGTCGCGTCCGCCCTTTAACCATGATAAATCATGCTGTTCTGTGCATCGATAAGTACCTTTTTGAGGACTGCATGCTTTGAGGTTCTCTTGGGCATATCCCTGGGGGTGCAAGCTGAGTCACATGTTAACTATTTACCACTCAAGAACTGATAAGATGATTTTTTTTTAAATGGCACTTTTTGAAACCAATATGTAGAGGTCTCAATGTCTTCTCATCCCATCAGCATATTATATCAGCCTCTGGTATTTTTTGTTGTTGTTGTTTTACTTTTAGCCATCCTTGTGGGTGTGAAGTAGTATCTTATTGTGGTTTTGGTTTTCATTTCCCTGTGACTAGGATGTTGAGCACGATATGCCGTGATTGGCCACTTTTGAAGACGTGTCTACTCAAATCTTTTGCTCATATTTCAATTGGCTATCAGAATTTTTTATTACTAAGCACTGAAAGTTCTTTATATTCTCGGTGCAAGTTCCTTATCAGACATATGGTTTGCAATATCCCTTCTCTTATGTAAGTTATCTATTTCTCGTATTAATGATGCCCTATGAAGCACAGATGATTCTAATTTTGATAAAGCCTGATTTATTTTCTTTTGTTTCTTGAACTTTTGATGGCATTTCTTAGAAACTAATGCCTAACCCAAGGTCATGAAGTTCTCTCTCTCTCTCTCTCTCTCTCTCTCTCTCTCTCTCTCTCTCTCTGGATAGGATCTCCCACCTCCTACTAATTTAGTCCAAATTCCCACCCTGTGGCCATCAATAGCGCAGTAAAGTAGGCTGATGGATTGGGAAGCCTGGCCACACCCTCTTAAGAAGCAAGAGTGAGGATGGAAGGGAGCCAGTCAGACTGTTTTTGCATAAAAACAAACAAACAAACAAAACCCAGCACACTACAGAGGTCACGGGACAATCGTAGACAGGATGTTCAGTATACAAAGGCAAACAAAGCAAAACCATGACACCACTGCCTCCATCTACATCGGAAATGTTTAAGTTCTGAGGTTCATGGGTATCAGTTCAGGAAGGTATGTGCCCAGTGTGTATTGCAAAATAAGAGCCAGTCACTGATGGCAAGGGGCAGAATTCTCAGCTCTGCTTCTCTATCTTCCAGACATATGAGGAAATGATAGGGACAAGGACCATCTGGACTATGTGCAGGCAGGGTTCTACATGCTGGAAGGGCTACACACCACCTCAAGCACCAGCATGGAGAGTTCTATAGCAATCAACTGCTTGTGCACAGACACAGACTCAGACACACACCCACAAACACACAAACACACACACATTTACATGCATATATACATACACATACACATATACACAGAGACAGGCAGACACTTATGTAGACACACACATGCATACACATATACACACCCTTCCTAAAGCAAATGCACACATCTGGACCCTGCATGAGCCTTTGTCAAGGCAGAGACCCTCACATCGCCAAAGATGGAGATGGGCAAATTGCTTGGGAGGCTGAGGCAGGAGGATTGTGTGGGAGTTCCAGGCCATTCTGGGCTGCAGTGGGAGACCATATTTCAGAAATAAATAAATAAATACACAAACAAACTAATGGATAAAATCTGCCTAAAAGGTGCACGCATGAAAACAGGAGAGAGACTGACCTTGACAGAGTTGTCGGCAGACATGGAAAATACTTTGTTTTCTTCAGAAGACACGTGTACATAGACCACAGGAGCCATGTGGCCTCTCAGCACACCCGTGGGTTTTCTAGAAAGAAAAGAACAAATGAACACAAAGCCGTTCTATCTGCTGTTTCTATTTTTTTTTTTTTTTTAATGTAAAACTCAGCTTGGCCTGGATCTGGCAGCTCTATTCAGCCCGGAGGAGGCTTCTGCTTCCCTCTGATATTACACAAGTATATATTTCGTGTAATAAAAGGACTGAGGCAAAATAATAAGCAGTTTCGGCAACAGAACTTGGGGTGAGAGGAAGCCTGGGGCTCTGCTTCTCCAGCTGTTAACAATAGTCGTATAAAAGGAATAAGCAAGGAAGAGCCTGAGGTGGGGCTGCCGTGGACACACGGGCACTCTCTCTAGGCCTGAGTGAACAGAGTTAAAATCCGGGCTTTGCAATACAAAGCTATGTTAAAGTGCCCTTGCAGGACATGGTACTCTGGGAGGGTTGAGAGAGAAAAGAAGCCTGGCTGAGGCCAAGGGGGAGAGCAACATGCCTGCTTTTAACCACAACAGGAACAGGCAGAAAACTGCCTCTCATTTTTATTATGTCTCTTGCATTGCTCTGAGTCTTTTTATTGTTGGTGTTTTTTTTTAATCTTCATTATCACCCTAGAGAGTGAGAATCTTGTCACCATTATACATGGGAAAATTGAGTCTGTTGCAGGTGGTTAGGAGAACCTCCCGGCCGGGAAATCATAGAGACATAATCAGATTCAATACCCACTGTCCCTCACAGTCCTGGCTATTACCTGCGCCATGGACGGACACAGGGTCACCTTGTGGGTCCCCACAAATGCCAAAGAGAGTGACCCAGATGGGTCACCTGGGCATAGCCTATGTGATTTGTGCTCACCCGAACCAAAAGACCCAGTGGCCCCTCCTCCCCACTGTTTTCAGCACTTCCCTGGGAACGACAGGCCTGCCTATGGGGCTTCAGGAGCGTCACTGATCAGTGGACTTGACGCCAGGGCCCAAGACGACAGATGGATTCCAGACATCACTACACAGTGGGTCTCAAAACGCAATCAAGACGGTGGAACTGGAGAGATGGCTCGGTGGAGGAAGCGCTTGCTGGGCAAGGAGCGGGCATGAGGAGTGGAGTTCAGACCCCCAGAAATGTGGGATGGGAGGGGCAGGCTGCTTGTGCTTCCTGCACTCAGAAGGCAGAGACAGAGGATTCCCCTGAACGGTACAAGCTGGTTAGCTAGACCAGTGGTAACAACAAACTCCGGGTTCAACTGAGAGACTCTGCCGCAGTGACTGGGGTAGACGGTGACTGCAAACCCCTGCCTTTGCGTTCTGATGCTGTGATAAACGCGGCAATCAAAAGCAAGGTCGGGGAGAAGAGGCTTTATTTCAGCTTACAACTCCCAGTTCACGCTCCATCGCCGAAGGAGGCATCTTCTCCGCTGAGTTTCTTTTCCCCCAAGTGACTCCGGTTGATGTCAAGTTGACAAAAATCTCAATCAGCACAATCATGCAACCACACACACATGCACAAGCTCTCACATAGACACGCCAACATGCATACACGTGAGCACATACCACACACCTATGAGAAGGATGAAGTGAATAAAACCTCAAGTGTCCCTGAAGGCTTGCTCAGAAGGGCCTACTGTGTGACACGCAGGCCTGGCCCAAAGCATGTGACAAGATCCCACTGAGGGATGATAGCCCCGAAACCTTCCCTGGCTTTTTGTTGGGTTCCCCAGGACCCAATCCCTCACAGAGCAGTCCTGGCTTCCTTGTGTCAATCACACTTGTTCTCTTATGTTAATTCTGTTAAAATGCAGGCATGGTAGAGTCATTAACTCTGATGGGGCCAAACCCCATGCCCTCAGGAGAACACTGGGGCCCCTGCTGTGAGACCACACTACGCATACACTCACTGCACATAATCTCAGTTCACTCCTCTGCTGATCATGGTCCATTGAAGGCAAGATGCCACCAGACAAGAGGGAGTCACACTGAGTTCCGTGGTCCTTGTAGCATTGTAAAGTGTTTACATTCGTTTTGTTTTGCTTGAGATGTGGTCTCTCTATGTAGCCCAGGCTGGCCTTAACCTTCCTAAGTGCTGGCATTACAGGCATGCCCACCATGTCCTGCTGGGATTTACATTTCACATCAGTTACAATGAAAAAGTTTTAAATATTTGTGTGTGTGTGTGTGTGTGTGTGTGTGTGTGTGTGTGTGTATGAATGTTTTGCCTGCATGTGTATCTGTGCACCGTGCCAGAAGAGGGAGTCGGATCCTGTGGGACTAGAGCTATAGATGATTTTGAGCAATTATGTGGGTGCTGGGAATAGAACCTGGGTCCTCTGGACAAGTAGCCAGTGCTCTTAACCACTGAGCCATCTTTCCAGCAGCCCTTATAGTGAACTTTTAGAGGCTGGAAACAGAAATGTTCCAGGCTTTGTGCAGGAGAGATTAATTTTGGACAGACAATTCTCCTAGGGAACCCTAGTCACATTTTCATTGACTTACTACCTCAGTGGTCCTCTCGTTAGGGGAAAGACCACTTACCCTGGCAGGTAAGGATTCCAGACCCTGATGATTCGGTCCACCCCACCTGTCACCAGCAGGTTTTTTCTCCTGCAGAAGGAGAACGTCTTGACTCCCTTATGGATGCGGAACACGGTGCGATCACATGCTGCTCGCCTTCGGGGCAGAGCGAGGGATGCTGGGCTTCTCCCCATCCTGCCAGTCTTCCCAGCATTCCTTGTTTCTTTCAGCTTTTCCTTGACATTTGTTGCTCCCGTCGTGAACCCTAAAAATATTCGCAGGAAAACAAGACACAGTCTCTTACTGAGATCACTCAATTCCCTGACAGTGTGCTGTTTTTATTAAGGTCCCAGGCTTGTTCTCGGTAATGACGTAGGCATTTTCTTTCATTCCCCAGGGTTAAATTCCAGGCAGCCAGAAAAGAAAAGCGACATAAGAAAAGACTCTTCTCACTTTTCTGAAAAGGGACATGAAACACCTGGGAGGGCAGAGGTACCACGAAGGCTATTTGCCTTTACGGCTTTCATCGCCTGTGGCCCGGCCCCGCCATGCCTGCATTTTAACAGAATTAACACGCTTTTGTTTGCATGTTTCAGCAGCTCAGTGGTGCAAGCCCATCCATGCCCATCTTACAGAAAGAAACCTTGTCTAGAAAGCACAGAGCAGTGGCCATCCAGAAAACATCGAGTTGTCCTGGAGAGACGGCTCAGCACCCAAGAGCACTGGCTGCTCTTCCAGAGGATCAGAGTTTGATTCCCAGCATGCACATTGCCTTGGAGACCCCGAGATGTTGGAGATGCCAGAGCCATGGGCTACCTGCCCAGGAGAGCTGCTAACAGGGAGTGGAACCAGCCCAAGAGGAACAAGTGTGTTGCCATCAACAAAGCTGAAAGGAGCTAGAGATCTGAAGAGCACTTTGACAACAGATGAGGAGATGCAGAATTTGAAGTCCACCCACCTGGTTTTCGGTCTTAACTTTGGTCCAGTATTTCCTCACTGTGCTCCCTTCCCTACATTTTGGAACAGTAATGTATATCCTGTGCCATTATATGTTGGAAGTATGCGATCTGCGTTTTGATTTTACAGGGGATTACAGTTAAGAGATTGTATGAATCTTAGAAGAGACTTTGAACTTTAGACTTTTAAATAAGTTTGAGACTGTGATAGACTATGGGGACTTTTGACACTGGACTGAATGCATTTTTGCATTATGATATGGTTACAAGTCTTTGAGGGCCAGGGGTAGAATGTGGGGGTTTGAAATAAAATGCCCCCCTAAAAGGAGTAGCACTATTAGGAGGTGTGGCCTTGTTGAAGTAGGTGTGGCTTTGCTGGAGTAAGTGTGTTACTGTGGCGGTGGGCTTTGAGCTATCTTTTGCTCAAGTTTCCCTCAGTGTGACACTCAGTCTCCTTTCTGTTACCTACAGATCAACATGTAGCATGCTCCTTCTCCAGCACCATGTCTACCTGCACACTGCCATGCCTCCCCGCCATGATGATAATGGACTGATCCTCTGGAACTGTAAGCTACCACCTCAATTAAATGTTTCCTTTATAAGAGTTGCCATGGTCACGGTGTCTCTTCGCAGCAATAGGAACCCTAACTGAGACAGTGGCTCACCATCATCTGTAACTCCACTTCCGGGAATCTGATGCCCTCTCTGGCCTCCACGGGACATGGCATGAACATGGTGCACATACCGTAGGTAGACAAAACACCCATATACATAAAAACCAATTTAAAATTTGCAAAGAAAATCGCAGAAGTAAGTACTGAGCCTGGGACTGTCTGGAACTACACTGAAGTGTGCTGAGAACCCATCGGTTCCATCAAGCAGCCAGGCAATTGTTCCCTACACTGATTTGGACAGATACGTTGGGCAGAATGATTGGTTGATTTATGAATCTCTTCAGTAGGATCCAAATGGCGGCCTCAGTGTTCACCTGTGGGTTTCCAACCTGGGTCTGAACTGAGGATGAATAAAGGGGGTCCTCAATGCACTCAGCAGGGTCTTCCTGATCCCTGTCACCTGGTTTCCCCTGGACACTCACCTCCACCATGTTCTAAGTGGTTTAGAAGAACTTTGGAGAAAGGAGATTGAAGAAGAATGTTCAGCTCGCCACTCCCCAGTCATTGCTTGTGACTCCATTTGGGTTAGTTAGGGTTGTTTCTGTCACTACAAGTTACAAGGTCAACTCCTTCCTAAGAAGCAGGAAGAAGAATGTGCCATTCTGGAACACTCCACGAAGTCTAATTCGGGCTCCATCTTCAAGGGCATGTGCCACACCTCTCCGCAGACCATGTTCAGGTACAACTCTGCCACAGACTTTCTGAGTCCTCTGGAGAAATGGGAAGTCTCTAGAGGAAACCTGTGGTTTTCAGTGTTGCCACTATTCTGTATTCTGCCTCTTGGCACCTCTGGTTTGGGGAAACACCTCTGCAGTGGAGTTCCGAGATGTGTCTAAACCTGCAAAGAGGGCATCCCCATTTCCCCCCTCGTTTCTCCGGAGCTCTTTCATTTTTGCCCGGCCCACGGCCTCGAAGTTGAGAATGCCAGCCGTCCATTCTTCGAGTCCCGCTAGCGAAGTGAGATCAGTCCTGAGCATCACTCGGAATGATCTCCCTTTTCTTCACAGCTGCCAGCCAAGTCTGGGGCCTCCTTTGGTGGCAGAGCACTGAGATGGGAATCCTGTTCGTCTCTCCGCAATGGTGAAAGCCTGCACTGGGTAGAGAAGCTGGCTACCGGGGCCCCGACCCCACCCCAATAGACCCCAGAACTAGCCAGAGGATCTGGGTAACCGCTGTAAGTGTGGAAGAGACAAGGTGCACCTGCCTCAAACGGCAGCTTGGTACGCCGTTCGCCCTCCCTGTTCTGAATGGAGTTCTGAAACTTCTGAGCAGGTGTGTCACTTTATTTTAATTTTATTTTATTTTCCAAGTAAAAAGAGAATAATCCAAGTTCATTTGCATGAACTCTAGCGACTCTCTTCCAATAGAGCCAGACAAGCATACACATTTAAGTGGTTGTCATGGGAACCGGAGAGCATAGCTCTTCTCCAAGGTCTGAAGGAAGGATGATGAAAAGTTTAAGTGGTCGCCATGGAAACCGAGAGCAGCTTCAGTGCTGGTTCATATCCCCAGCGCATTAACTAGCAGGCAAGTCTTCAGGGATGAGGATGCTGGAGGAAGTGAGACTGATTCTCCACCGGGATCTTAGCATCAGGTTGACCCAGATGCGGCCATCGCAGCCCCCAGGCTCACAGTACCCCATGGGGTCAGCAGCCAGGTGGAATGTACTCCAGGTTCAGCCCTGGCCTCCTCTGACTCAAGCTGTATTTTGAGGCTTCTTTTACTTATCCTGCCCACGGCAGGTAGCCTACAGATTTGGGGGTCACAAAACAGAACCTGTTCCTGTTTGTAGGAGAGAAGACACTCTTAAGCATCCAGCCCTGTTTTCCCCGTGGCCTTAACCAAGATACGCTTCTCTTTGCATATTCATTAATGGCAAAAAGAAGGCTAGGCATTCCTGCCTGAAATAAACAGCAATATGGAAGGCGCTTCTAACAGCTTGAGAGTGAACTGAGGTCCTCCGCAGGCAGTTGCCTTCTGCTGTTGCGGTGTTCTCTTTTCATGAGGTATGTCTACTGGGAATACGAGGCTGACCATAAGACAAGCTTTAAAGCCCCCGAGTACATAAAGGAAGGGCCTTCAGGCTCTGCCAAAAGTCTCTTTGCCTAAAGGGGCAACAGGGAGTCTTAGGAATGGAAGAATTTCCTCTCTGATGAGGCTGTGACTGCCTGGCTGCTTCGGAGGAGCAAAGGCTGGTACACACACACACACACACACACACACACACACACACACACTGTAGTGATCAGCGGACACTGGGAACTACATGAATAGGCTGCAGTTTGGGGAGGTAGGGTACTGTAAGGACAATGACATATGAGAAAACATTTGACAGGATTGTTGCCTCCATCCTCAGGCTGTCCTGGCGTGTGACACTTCAGAGCACTGAATGAGAGATAGATATGGTTTGGAATTCTGCCTTCACAGATGCACTCACTTGACAAATCTTTGCAGAGCACCTGTTAGATGCTAGGGACCATCCCGAGCCCTTGGGTGCTAACAATGAACAAAACAGCTGAGACATCATGGCACCAAGGGGAGCTAGACTATAAAGAACGCATACAACATATCAGAAAGGGGCTAGATCTGTGGATTCAAACAAGAGAAGACCAAGGCAAGTGTGGTAGTTTGAATGTAGTTGGTCCCCACAAGCTCATAGGGAGTGGTATTATTAGGAGGTGTGGCTTTGTTGAAGTAGGCGTGGCCTTGTTGGAGGAAGTGTGTCACTGTAGGGGCGGGCTTTCCTATGCTCAGAGTCTGAGTGCACTTCCTGTTGCCTTCTGGTCACGATGTGGCCAGCACCACACTCCCAGCTGCCATGCTTCCTGCCATGTGACAATGGACTCCACCTGAAACCGTAAGCCGCTACCTCAGTTAAGTGTTTCCCTTTATAAGAGTTGCCGTGGCCATGATGTCTCTTCACAGCAAAAGAAACCCCGACTCAGACAGCAAGGAAGGCTGGGAGTAGGAGAGGCAGTTCCCATCTTTGACAAGGTGGCAGAGGAGGTGTCAGTGAGAAGTGACGGATGAGCCGAGGCTTGAGAAACGTGGAGTGAGCTAGGTGAGAGTTTGTGGGGTCTCAGAAGAAGAAGAAAGCACAGCCCCAAACACTGTCCAGAGGATCAGTGTAACTGGAAGAGGGAGTGTGAGAATGGAAACAGATGTCACCAGAGGGGTAAGGGTTGGGGGCCAGTCACACAGAGCCCTGACAGCTTTGGCTTTCATTCTAAGTGGAATGGGGGTTCACCAGTTACACTGGTTAGTTTTGGCCAGCTTGACACAAGCTATAGCCATTTGGAAAGGGGAAAACTCAATTGTGAAAATGCCCCTGGAAGATTGGCCTTTAGTCATTTTCTTATTGAAGACTGATGGGGGAGGGCCCAGCCCATTGTAGGTGGTGCCATCCCTGGGCTGGTGGTTCAAGTCAGCAAGCAGCACCCCTTCATGGTCTCTGCTTCAGCTCCTGCCTCCAGGTTCCTGCCCTGCTTGAGCTCCTGTCCTGACTTCTGCCAGTGATGGACAGTAGTCACGACACATAAGCCAAACAAACCCTTTCCTCCACAAGTTACTTTTGGTCATGGTGTTTCATCAAAGAAATGAAGAGAAAAAGAGTAAATCAAGGGACCTCAGGGAATGTGACCATGTTTTTACCAGCTCTCTCTGGCTGGCATGTGGTGAGTGGAGTTGTGTGGTGCTGGGGTTCAGATGGAAGCAGGGAGACTAGGAGGTTCTTGAAGCGATTCAGAGAAGCAAAGACAGTATTCCCTGTGGAAGCGGAGACGACCCTGGTAGAAGGTGACCACATTCCTGGTGCCTCAGGTGTGCAGAGTCAACAGGTCAGATGTGGTCTGCAGGAGAGAAGACTCAGGGGTGACTATTTGTTTTTTGACACGAGCATCTTGAAAGATGGACTTAGCCCTAACTGAGGTGGGGCAGATGGTGGAACAGGGGTCAGGTAGAAGATCCGACTCAGCTTTGGACTTAATAATGATGCACATCATCTATCTGGATCGCTATGGCCATTGTCAAGCCAGGGGAGTTACAAATACCAGAGGGGATGAGCTGGAGGTGTGAGTTCACATGTAGACAGTGAGCTCCTGGTGCTGAGGGGATCATCAAGGGAAGGTGCAGAAATGGGCAGGAAATGAAAAGAGACTGAACTCTGGAGCCTCCAACATTTCGTCAAGGAGGTGTGAAGGAAGAAACAAGGGAGGCCGAGAAAGAGTAGCAAGGGTGAGATGGACAGGGAGGGAGACAAAATGGTCAGGTCTCCCAGATGCAGACAGGGAAAATGAAATAGTTACTAGTTCATAGAATTAGAAATATGAAGGTCGTTGGCGACCCTTTGATGTGATGGTGAGGATCAAGACGACATTGAAGGGGTTCTTAGAGAAAATAAGAAGAAATGGCAGGTGTCTTAATTAGGGTTCCTATTGCTGTGAGGAGACGCCATGACCACAGTAACTCTTACAAAGGAAAACATTTAACTGGGGGTGGCTTACAGTTCAGAGGTTTAGTCCATTGTCATCATGGTGGGACATGGTGGCATGCAGGCAGACGTGGTGCTGGAGAAGGAGCTGAGAATTCTATACCTCGATCAAAAGGCAACAGGAAGTGAACTGAATTGCTGGTTATGGCTTGAGCGTATGTGAGACCTCAAAGCCCACACCCACAGTGACACATTTCCTCCAACAAGGCCCTACCTACTCAAACAAAGCCACACCCGCTCCAACAAAGCCACGCCTCCTAATAGTGCCACTCCCTGTGGGCCTAAGAGTCAGTACCTTCATCTACTGCCGTGCCCATCACACTATAACCACCAACAAAAGCCCCTAGAATGATGTTGATCTGGGCTAATCCTTCCCTCCTGGAGGCATCTAGCTCTCCAGAGATATTTAGTTGATGAAAGTCACTGCAGTTTAGAGTTGTGAATGATTTCTATGACCTCCCTGTCTGTGATGGAAGAAGGCAGGGGAGGTCAGGATACTTACAGCAGAGCGAGCACTTGGGCTCTGAGCTGGTGAGCTCCTTAGGGAGCTTGTCTAATGTACTGCATTAGTCTGAGTTACGTTCCTATGACAAAAGCCTGAAACCCAATGCTCAGAAAGAAAAGAGGTATGTGTCTATTGGCAGGGTCTTACTCCTTAGGCCCAGCCGATCTTGAACTTGTGATCCTTTTGCCTCTGCATCTTGAATGCTGGGATTACTGGTGCTTTAGCCCCATGCCTAGCTGGACCAAAAGAGGTTATTTTCATCACAGTTTTGGAGGTTTAACGTCTAGGATCAGGTAGCCCATCAATTAAGCCTCTAGTAAGGGCTTCTTTGGGTGCTGTCCTGGTTAGTTTTTTTTTGTTTTTTTGTTTTGTTTTGTTTTCAACTTGACATAAGCTAGAATCATGTGGGAAGAGGAAACCTCAACTGAGAAAAAACACCTCCATCGGATTGGCCTGTAAGCTAAAGGCTTGTGAGACGTTTTCTTGATTAATAATCGATGTGGGAGGGCCCAGCGCACTGTGTCATCCTTGGGCAGGTGATCCTGGGTTCTATAAGAAAGGTAGCCTAACGTCTTAGTTTGGATTTTTTATTGCTGTGAAGAGAAACCATGACTCCAGCAACTCTTATAAACAAAACATTTTGCTGAAGTGGCTGCCTTACAGTTTCAGAGGTTCAGTCCATTATCATCATGATAGGGAGCATGTCAGCGTGTAGGTAGATGTGGTGCTGGAGCTGAGAGTGCTACATCTTGCAGGAAACGGGAAGTGAACGGAAAGTCACACTGAGGGAAGCCTGAGCAAAAGAGACCTCAAAGCCTGCCCCCACAGTGACACACTTCCTCCAACAAAGCCACACCTCCTAATAGTGCCACTCCCTTTTGGGGGCCATTTTCTTTCAAACCCTTCACCGATCATGAGCCTGAAGAGTGAGCCAGTAAGCAAGGCTTCTCCATGGTTCTGTGTCAGTTGTTGCCTAGGTTCCTGTTTGAGTTTTTTTGTGATGGACTGCAAGCTGTGAGGTGAAATAAACCTTTCTGTCCCCAAGTTGCTTTTGTCCATGGTGTTTCATTACGACAATAGAAATCTAGCCAAGGCAGGTAGACTACAATATGAGGGATGCCATGGTGGTAAAAGTGTGTGTGTGTGACAGAAAGAGACAGAGAGAGAGATAGAGATAGGGAGAGAGAGAGAGAAAGAGAGAGAGAGAAAGAGAGAGAGAGAGAGAGAGAGAGAGAGAGAGAGAGAGAGAGAGAGGATAGCAAATACAGAGCTAGAGGAGGAGAAGATAATCTCTCTCTCTCTCTCTCTCAAACACACACACACACACACACACACACACACACACACACACACACACACACACAGCCTATTCTGGAATTATCCAAGGTCTCAGACAAACTACATTAATCCCTTCCAAATATGATGTCTCTAATGACCTCACCACCTTCCATTAGGCCCAACTTCAAAGCATCTACAATCCTTTAATGCTACCACTTTGGTGACCACATCTCCAGCACATGAACCTTTGGGAGACGCATTCAAATGAACTCTAAACCACATCATCTATTTAACTATAGAAAACCGAGGCCCACCATCACAGTTGCATTAGTAGCAGAGTCGTGGCCAGGACTCACTGATCCTCATTCTGGAACAATTGCTTTTGATCTTCCCAAACAAACACTGCATTCTGAGCTGCTGCAGTCTCCAAAGTCTTGGCTTCTTAGAATTCAGACCCACTAGCATTCTAGAAAACAAGCTTTTCTAGTTCTAAGAAAAAAACAAAACAAAACAAAACAATGAAAGTTCCCAAGAAATTCAGCCACTGCACATTTCTTTCTAACACTCTGAGGATTTAAATGTCAGTGGATCAGAATTCTACAAAGGAGAAACTTCCTTGAGAGGATGAGAGCCCTCCGGCTATGAATCAGGGAGCTGGATGCTTTCAATCAAGAAAGCAGCAAGAGAGTGTTCACAGGAGGCTGAGACCCCGCTCCAAGTCATACTGATTTTCCATGATGTGCCTTGGCAAGTGGAAGTAGCTTTTCGAGGATAAAAGTGGGGGAAATGGGCATCAGAACTGCTCAGGTCTAACTGGGCTGACATCATGTGAGTGGCTGATCTGAATTGCTGCTACAGTTTTAAGTATTCCACGCATTACAAATGGGTTGCGTGATGAGTTCACACTAGGCCCTTAAAGTCAGGGGTGAGGTTTCAGGTGGAGTAAGAAGGGAGAGGGGAGAGGAAGAAGGCATTCTGAGAACTTCTTCATCTGACCAACTAAGCCAAAATCTCTGAGAGTAAAACACAGGTAACCTGATTTTACAAAGTCACCCAGAGCACCCCATCAGAAGCTCGGGACCATGGACAAGTGGAAAACTTTTTTAAACCTTGAAAGTAATCATGATCAGTATCAACATGAAAAATCAAACTTGATCCCAGTGTCATCGAATAATGGGAAGGGATTTTCCAATATGGTGTCAAGAGCTTTACAAAATAATTATGAAGCAAAATGAAGTAAATGTGAACTGAGGTTGTCATCAAGGGGTAAGCTATTAAAGAGTCAGTAGACTACCATGGCCAAAAATGAATGCTTCCCATATTTTGACATGCATGCAAGTCATGGCTTGATTTAGTTGCAGATCCATTCCATAGCTCTAGGGTGGGGCCTCCACACTAGTCAGCTTCCCTTTCCTGGGACAAACCACTGCAGGGGAGGAAGATTAATCTTGGCTTAGTTTCAGGGCTTTCAGTTGGCTGCATGGCTTCTGGGCTGTGTGGAAGCCACATGGTGGTGAACGTATGGAGGAGCCAAGAGGTTCTCCTCCTGGTGGTGAGGAAGCAAAGGGAGAAAAGGATGGTGCCAGGGACAAAACAGACGAAGAACAAGGACGCGACCGCGCCAAAGTATGGTTGAGAAGGGTTTATTGTAGGTATGAGGGAGAGAACACAGCCAGAGGCATCTGGAAGGGTCCAGACCGAACTGGGCCATCAGAGGAGAGAGAAGGAAGGAGAGAGAGAAGGAAGAGAAAAGGAGAGAGGGGAGCCCAAGAGAGGAAGCAGGAGCCAAGACACCAAGAGAACCAGGAAAGCACGTGGCCAAAATGGCTGGGTTATACAAGAAAGGCTGAGGGAAGAAAACCAGAGGCCAGCCTTTAGGAGGGAGAGGGTTAGGGTAGGGGCAGGGTGAGAAGTGTTGAGAGGAGCCGCAGGTGCTGAGTGAGACTTGTCCCAGGTTTTTTTTGAGACCTAACGCCTTTTAAGGGAGCACCTTCCACCTCCAGGTTCCTGCCTTGAGCTCCTGCCCTGGCGTCCCTCCATGATGGACAGTAACCTGTAAACTGAAACAAGCGCTTTCCTCCCCAAGTTGCTTTTGGTCAGTCCTTGATCACAGGAACAGAGAAGCAAAGGACAGAGACAGAGAGCGTTTGGCCTTCCGTCCGGTTAGCCGTGCGAGTTTGTACAGTAGTCATGTTCCCCACTTTCTCCCAGTCCCCACTTCTGGGAAGTGCACGCCAGTGTGCGAGCTCCCGCAGTTTATGGGAAGTGCACGCCAGTGTGTGAGCTCCTGCAGTCTGAATAGCTCCCCACTTCTGGGAAGTGCACGCCAGTGTGCAAGCGCCTGCAGTCTGAACAGCTCCCCACTTCCGGGAAGTGCACACCAGTGTGCGAGCTCCTGCAGTTTATGGGAAGTGCACGCCAGTGTGTGAGCTCCTGCAGTTTATGGGAAGTGCACGCACGCTAGTGTGCAAGCGCCTGCAGTCTGAACAGTTCCCCACTTCTGGGAAGCGCACGCCGGTGTGTGAGTGCCTGCAGTCTGAACAGGTTTGGTCGATCCGGTTCTTCTGAACTTCTCCTGTCACTTAGTGTTTTTGTCGCTGTGACACAAGTAACCAAGACAACAACGTAAGGGAGGGAAGAGGCTTATTTTGGGGCACGGCTTGAGTGCACGGCAGTGTGATGGCTAAAGCTATGCTTCAAAGTACTGTGCTTAGGAGATCTACACGAGCCACCCTCCCAACTCTCCTTTTTGCTTAACTCACTTCGAATCTTATTTCCTTCAATGTAGAAAAAAAAAAGTGGAACAGGGACTCACTTACAAATTGATTCAAGCAGTGGATGCCTACCACATGATGGTTATGGATACTAAGGAAGGGGATGCACCTCAGGTATTTGGGGCTTCCTTGACATTTAAGGAAGTGTTCCTGCTAGGGCAAGCTGCAGGGTCAGGAGAGGGCAGGTGTTCAAGACACGGTCCATCAAACAACTGCTAGGAAAAATGATCATGCCTTCTAACCCAAAGCCATAGCCTTTGCTATGACACCGAGGTGTAGATCTGTTCCAGCTGTTTTACAGGCGCCTGCAGGTTCCTGGGGAAAGAGTTCTGCTACTCTATCAAGAAATCTGGCCTGGTGGAAACTAATATCAGTCTCTAGAGCTCCTCTTTTACCCCACCCATCTTCGAGCCCACATTTTAGAGGTCCACTCTTCCTGCCAGATGTGTGCCAAGGCCAACCCACAGGGGCCCTCCAGATATTCCAGCCCCTCCACCGGCTCTGAGGACACCAACCAGGTGAGGACTGGCAGGTTGACTTCACCCACATGCCCATGATCTTGAAAAAGCTCCATGATCTCTTAACTCTTATTGACACCTTTACAGGATGGATGGGGGCACTCCCCACCTCCAGGGAAACAGCCGATATGATGGCTCACAGACTCCTGGAACACATCCCCCCAAGCTCTTGGGACATCAGTGCTGGTACCATCTCTCCGGGCTCAAGAAGGCACCTATCCAGAAAGATGGTCTGTCCAGCAACTGGGACCCTCCACCCTCCGATTTTCAAAATTGTCTCAATGAAGGGCCTGTCTGCTCCTCTGCCTGGCCCATTCATCTTTGTCAGCACAACCAGGGCACCTCTCCATTCAGTTCTTACTGGTAATCTCCACTCTTCCCATGGCTAGTCCCATTCATAGGGCCGGTGCTAACAACCTGCTTTTTCTCCTAGCAACTTGCCTTCTCCTCTTCCTCAAGAAACAGATCCCTGAGGCCTCCAGGATGGCAGTTAGCTGCATGCTTCTTCACCCACACCTCCCACTGAGCATAAGCCCACTGACTCCCGGCTCCCCCCTCCCCACGTCGTCCCATGCCAACAGGAAGTAGCCAGACTTGAACCCGTGCCCATATATCCAAGAAGGTTGAGATGTTCCATTGGAAGCTCTGCCTCAGCACCTCTCCCCCTCCCCCACTTCTTCAAACCCTGCGGCTTTCAGAAAGCCTGCCAAGTGGCGGCTGCTCCCATGAAGCTGCTCAAGACCACGTCTCCAGTCCACAGACCTGCCCTGTGATTTTCCTCCTCCTTCCTTCCCTTGTGACCACCCAGGAAGGCTTTGCTCACATTAAACCTGGCCCTTTACTTTTAATTCAGCTTGATCTGGCTTATGGCGTCAGCAGAGAAACCTAATATGGGGGATTCAAAATACCCGTCACTCCTCTTCTCTCTCTTCCTTTTATTCTCTCTCCTGCCCAGCTATTGGCCGTTCAGCTCTTTATTAGACCAATCAGATGCTTTAGACAGGCACAGTAACACAGCTTCACACAGTTAAACAAATGCAACATAAAAGAATGCAACCCATCTTTGCACCATTAAACAAATGTTCCACAGCGTAAATGGATGTAACACATCTTCAACTAATATTCCACAACAGAACTCACTTGGCCGACATTCATCTTTCAGAAACTATGTGTGTCCAAGTGCTGGCTCTTCATGTATCTTTTAAAAATTAACTTTCCTTTAAAAATATTGATTTACTTCATTTATTTATTTATTTTTGTTATGACCGAAGTGCGTTCTCCAAAATGGCAGTGCTGGTGACAGTATCCTAAATAGAAGATCTCTGACTGGATAAGCAGAGGCTTGATATTGCGTAAACAGAAGCCTAAATTCAGCATTCCTCAGGAACCCCACAAGGCAGGTTTCAGAGTATGACTGCCTTTAAAGGTCAGCCGCCTCAAGCAAGGGCATCTAGCTCAGCCTTCCTCAGCTCAAGGACAGTTGTCATGGAAAGTCTGCTTGCTTGGCCACCATTTGCTTCTCTCTGCCTACCCCCCACCTCCTAAGATAGCCTGGGCAGTGTGATCCTCAGGGGACCTTTCTTCCGACCCACGATCCAAACATTGGCTGCGTTCAATTGT